GTAAGGAAAGTTAGTGATTGATTATTGTTGAGTTGTGCTGTTAAACTAATGTTAGGATTCATGATTTGTTGGCTGTATTTGATTGAATTAGGATGGTATGATAAGTTGGTTGAGTTGTGATTTTCTTGAAGGTGCTATGAGTAGAGATTGGTGGATTTTAAAGTGCATGGTTACATGTGATGTTTTTATGTTGAATATGAATCATATAAGTTGTATTTGTGTTGAAAATATGTTTGCATGTTGGTTTGGTTTGGAATTCTCACATGTTTGAGTCAAATGAAGATTCTACCAAGTGCGAAAATTTTCTTCACATCAAGCATGCCTTCATTGTGTCAGGCGTGACTTGAGTTAGGAGCTCTTTATCATGATCATGCTAAGCGCAAGATTAGTAGCATTGAGCATGGATCAACGAGGAGCTCTATGACTTAGTCACGCCTAGTGTATAGTGATAGGCATCAAATGTGATTGCTTAAGGAACTCTTTGACTTAGTGACATTAGATCCCAAGATGAGTGGTGTCAAGCGTGATCAAGACATATTCTCTACCTGGACAACCTGAGTGTCAATGTTGTGATGCCGAGCATAGTCAAGTAGAGACTCTCTACTTGAATGAGGTCAAACGTGGGTTTGGCCACGTCAGACGCTATTAATTCAGAGGTTCTCTACCTTTTCCATGTCAAGCGCTAGTGGATTGATATCAAGTGTAGACGAACTAGAAACTCTCTATCTCAAAACATTACAACACAATTATTGATAAAACATAATAATTAACAAAAAAATATAATATTACAATCAAAATAAACATTTTAATATATACAAAACTAAAATAAATCTAAACAATAAAATAAAAGACTAAAAATATAATTTAACCTATAATTTAATAAGTCTAACCAAAAATCAATTTAGTAACCTATTCATTAACTACAACTAAAAAATCAACTCAAATTGGTGGAAAACTTAAAAAGAAAAACTGTAGAAAGTCAATTTGAATAGATTTTTTTTTATAATAATTGTTTTTATTCTTATTTTATTTTTTAATTTCAACGTTGTTGTTTTTAAGATAAATAAAGTTACATATTTAAAGATTCATAGATATAAAATATTTTTATCGTTATTATTTTCTCTTTTTTATAAACATATATAATTTATTAAATTATTTGAATTAATTTACACTTTTATATTTTAATTTCTTATAATTTATATTATTTTGTTATTTAAAATAATATAAAACATTAAATATAAATTTTAAATACTACCGGTTTTATTAAGATTTCACCACAGTGAACCAATAAATAGTGAACTTTCAAAATATTTGTATTAACAAAACATAGTATTTAACTAGTATATTATAATAAATATGTAAAAATAATTAAAATTTATAATAAATTTTATATATAAATAAATATTATGTTTGAATATATAAATTATATTTAAAATTCGTATAAATATATATTTTTAAACATATAAATAATATTTTAAATTTTTTATAAATAGTTTATATTTTTTTTTAACCATGTTATTAATACAAAGTATTCATCAAAATTGTTGATGACTAATATCAACGACTTTACTTAGAGAGAGTGAGCCTAGTAATATTCAAACTAACAACTTGTTGATGATTAATAGTGTGAGGTCCCTGGTCTTTTCTTTCCTTTTTCCCGAACTCTCACTCACTCTCATACTTTTCTTCCCCAAATCCCCTGCTCATTTCTGATTCCTTGTGGTGATCTTCTTGAGCTTAGGTGCTGAGTAGTAGCTTTTGGAGCTAGCTGTGGGCGTGAAGCTTGTTCTTCTTCTCCTGTCGTCGTTCTTCTTCTCCATTTCTCTTCTTTCTTCCTTGTCATTTCCCGAAGCTCGGAGCCGTTGAACCAAGGTAAGGGAAGCTAGGTTTTGCTGAGTTTTTGGTTTAAAGAGAGTTCTAAGAACTCCTTAGCTGTTTGATGTTTGGTGATTTTTGGTTGAGAATGATGAAATTAAGGTTTTCGGGGTTTCAGAGTAATAGTGAAAATTTGGGGTTTTGATGTTTTCATAGTTTCATGTTGAAAAAGAATTGATTTTTGGGTTGTTGGATGAAAATGGGGTGTTTTGGGTGGATTGCATGTGCTTGGATTTCTTATTTTTGCAGGATTGTTGTTAAAAAATGGTGGAGGGATTGTGTTTGTTGTCACAAACGGCTGAGCCATTTTGAACGGCTGAGCCCTTTGGGAGTTTCGTGACAGGGAAGAGTTTCTGGAACCAAACGGCTGAGCCGTTTTAAGGCGCTGAGCGCTTTGGGGCAGAGAGCCACCTGGAACCAAACAGCTGAGCCGTTTTAAGGCGCTGAGCGCTTTGGGGGCAGAGAGCCACCTGGAACCAAACAGCTGAGCCGTTTTAAAGCGCTGAGCGCTTTGGGGGCAGAGAGCTAGAGGAGAATCTCTGGAGGTAAAGCGCTAAGCGCTTTGGAGGCGTTGAGCGCCTTTGTGCTTTCAGAATTGAACTTTGTAATCTTCATGGAAGTTGTAGCCTTGGATCTTAGCTTTCCAATGGCGCTGGAATCACCCAAAAAGGAGTTCTAGAACTCCAGATATGGCTGTTTTAGTGAAGAGGGGTCAAGCTGTCAGTATTGGTTAAGTTGTTTTAGGTGCTTAGGTTGATTGGTGTTGTTTGGGTGGGTAATTTTGCATGATTGATGAGTTGTAAACAAGACGGGTGAGTCGTATTATATGTTGTATGTTGCAAAATTATTGATCATGCTATTAATAATGTTTGAGTTGAATTAAAATAGGCGAATATGATGTGATGATTAGTGGATAATACTGTTGCTGATGTTGAGTTGTATCAGTTGTATATTGTCGTAAGTTATTATGTTGAGTTGTATCACTTGTACATTGTTGTAAGATGATATGTTGAGCTGTACAGTTGTGTTGTACTGTGTGTTGATATTGGATGTTGTAGGCCGAAAGGCTGAGGTGTTGTAGGCCGAAAGGCTGAGGTGTTGTAGGCCGAAAGGCTGAGGTGTTGTAGGACGAAAGGCTGAGGTGTTGTAGGAGATCTCCGAGGTGATATGCGTGATGACGCATTTTGTGTGTATTGATAAACTGTGTGGTAATAACTGACAGGATGTTTATGGATGAATTGTTGATGGTTGTAATTGCTGTTATTACTTAAAAATTTTCCTATATCTTGTTCTTTTTATACTAGCTTACCCTCGTTGTTTCCGTGTGTTTGGACTGCGATGATCATACTTGTATGGGAGCAGAGCAGGGCTAGATTTGTGATAGGAGTAAGCTTATAGCTGGCAGAGGACGGAGAGTCTTAACTGACTGATGTTTTGGATGTTAAGCCACTATCTGACTATTTTGGATTGTATTTTATATTGTACGCCCTAACTCTAATCGGATTGGAACATTTATATATATTTATATTCTAGATCCTATATTTATATACTCGTTCTATTCTGTCTAGTGTTTCCGGTGTGCTGCGGTTATGAGTGTGGTGACCTGCCGGGTCGTTACAAATAGTTTATATTATAACATAATATTATTTTTATTTATTTATAATTTATTTTAAAAACATTAAATTTTAACTTATAAGTAATTATGATAAATAATTAATCTCTAAAGACGTATTGTACAAGATAGAGAATTTAATATATAGTTAAAATTAAAATTAATTTATAAATAATTATGAAAAATAAAATTGAATTAGATAAAAAATAAAAAAAATCTGAAAAATCTTTTTATTAAAAAAAACTTCTAAAAATATTTTGATATAAAATACACTCTGATATATATGAATTTATACTTTTAATATATATGATACTTTGAATGAGAACATATTAATGATAGCTTTATATATATATATATATATATATATATATATATATATATATAATCCTGACTAGTCACTACAAGTATAATTCAAATTTTATTGTATCATAAAAATCCAATATTTGATCTGTATGTATATATATTATATATATATATATATAATTGTGATTATTAAAGAAAAAATATACAATGACAAATAAAAAAAAAAAGTTACAGTTAATAAAGTGTAAATATATTTTTTTTTTAAATTGTGTTGCCTTTATCTACCGATTATTGTCATAGATATTGTAAGGTAAAATACAACACGTATTTAGCTTTGAAATGAAGAATGTTCACAAATCTATTCAATATAATAAATAAAAAAAATTGACTGTAAGAATGTTTTTTTAGTGTACTCAATAAATTGAAAACTAAAAAAAGTAAAAATAAAAAATAACTTTTATTAGATAAAATCATATCTTATTATTTATTTAATATTTTTTCAAAAATAAAAGAGATTAAAACAGAAAACCACTGATGCAAATCTCTTAAATAAAAATTCTTTTAAAATCAAATCAATAGAAAAATGAATTAAATAAATTAAATAATTCGATCAAATGATTTTTTCTTTAAAAATTAATTTAATACATTCCACAAACAAACACTTCTATTCATAATCGTTCATCTCAATAATAAATTAATAATTAGATGTGACAAACAGATAAATTTCAATGAGATAATAACATATTTGATAAGAATACTTTATCAATATATTTTAATTTATTAAAAATATTTTAAAAATTCAATCCATCATACTATACTGAGTCAAAATATATTTATTTATTTTTTTAAAAAAATATATATCTAATCTATCTATCCACAATTATATCATTTTCAGAATTAAATAAATTTATTTAAAAACATTATCTTCTTTCCTGTAATATCATCTCATCAATGAACCATTAAAATAATATGCACGAGGATCTAAATTAAATATCTGTGCAAACGTTGTAAAATAAAAATAAATTATTGTTAATGGCCATCTTAATATCCTATTAGCACGCTTTTCTCTCTCCGTATGTATTTTAGAGCATTCACTGTTCCGTTCCAAAGTGTCACATATTATATCCTCATATCATATATCATATATCATATATTATATCTTATATTATATATATTACTATAGTTATAATTATATTAATATATTACTATGTATATAAACCAAGGAAAGGAATTTATCAAACTCTGTGGCGATACCCAGAACAGAATTTAACGAGCAAGAGTGAGTGAAGGAAAAAGATTGGAAGAAGAAGAGACGAAGCAGAAGGAAAAATCAGAAAACCCTAATTGGAGGATGTGATGTATTATTGCATGATCGATGGGAAAACCCTAGATTCGGAAGAGTAGGGGGCGCAATCGACGAAGACGTAGATGCTTGTTGTCGTTGGAGTATCGTGGGATCTGAATTGGTTCCTGCAACTGTTGCTCTCCGTCATCGTCGTCGCCGTCGGGGTCCACATTTTCGTCAAGACCACCGCATCCAAATACTTCGAGGTCGACGCTAATTTCGAAGGGGATCACCACCACCACCACCACCACCAACACGCCCTCGCCGACGCAATGCCCGGCGTTCTCGCCCCCGCCCCCGCCGCAGCCGATCCTCTCTGCGCCGTCTGCGCCACGCGCGCCACCAAGAAGTGCTCGCGCTGCAAGGCTGTTCGCTATTGGTATGCTACCGTTTTTCGATCATCAATGCTATCGTTAATTGATTAATTAATTAATTAATTAATTAATTTTTGTGTTAGTTTTGGTTGTTACTTGTTAGTTAATTGAGTTTGTTTCGTGGTGTTAAATGAATACAAGGTTTGGTAAGGAAATTGATGACTTTATTTATTTATTTGTTTGAAGAAATTTGGTAGGAAATAGGAGTAGTATTATATTCTGTTTGGATACAAGTTTAAAAATGCTTTTTGAGAGTTTCTTTATTGAAAGAGGTTATATATTTTTCGGTAAAGAATTTTTTGAAAACTCTTTTAAGCTTTTATTCAAGAGACTCTTAGTGTTTGTGTTTGAATGGGAAAGGAGGGAAAGTGGATGAATTTAATTTACATGTGCGTGTGGATATTGTTTTGCAGCTCACAGGAATGCCAGCAGTCGCATTGGAAGTCTGGGCATAAGACCGTATGTAAGGATTTTCATGACGCCAGTGTAAGAAGCTCGGCACAGAATGGGGTAGTTAATAGTGGGTTTAAGACTTCTGCTGCTGGGGGTAAAAGCTCGTCGTTGATTGCATTGATACCTGGTTGTGGAGAAGTTTCCAGGCCAATCAAGAAGCTGCCTAAAGATGTAATTATTTTCTTTTCTGGAAGTGTTGATATATTCATGTTATGTTATCTGCTTTGCTTACTGTGTTAGTGAAAGGGAAGGGGTAACTTTGAGGTGGTAGGTTTTGTTGCCTTGTGATGATGTGCGAAAAAGTGTGTACCTTATTTAAGAAAACTGTTACTGTTAGGGAAAAAAAGTAAAATACTAATAGGTGTGACTCTTTTGCGTTAGTCTTCCATATCAAGTAACAAGAATATAAGATTATGATCTTCAATTAGAAAAAAATCCTGAGCTACTTGCTGCACAGGGGCCTGAAGATTAAAGAAATTGCTAGTTTAATTACTATCCCCTTTAGCTTCATGATAGGAATGTTATATTATTGGCCTTTTAGATTTTTTCTGTTATAATCAATAAGGTACCAAAGGTGTTCCTCCCATGAACTTTGTGAGCACCAGTGGTGTGTTCTTGATTTGTTATTTTGTGGGGGTCTTAGACCTTTGGTATATGGAGATTATGTTGTAGTGTCATGCTCTTTACTCAAGCGACAGCTCCTTGATCAGCACTACATGCTGACCCCTCCTGGAACCCTGCCTCAGTGCCTCTGACCTTATTTTTACATGCTTTGTCTTGTTCAGGTTCTTTTTCCTTACAATGAATTTGTCAAGTTGTTTAATTGGGACAAACCAGGATTTCCACCATGTGGACTCTTGAATTGTGGAAACAGGTTTTCCCTTTTTCGTGACTGAGCTTCTGCTTTTTTGCACTTATTGTGATAATTGTGATTAGAGGAAACAGGAAGTAATTTACATTTGCTATAATTTTTGCAGTTGCTTCGCAAATGTGGTTCTCCAGTGTCTCTCATTCACTAGGCCACTTGTTGCCTACTTGTTAGAGAAGGGCCACCGCCGAGAATGTAATATCATAACTCAGACCTTTTTATTGCTGGATGTCAACTATTCCTCTTGCTTATGTAGTTGTTGGTTCTTCAGGCAGTTGTAATGATTGGTGCTTTCTATGTGAATTTGAAAACCATGTTGAAAGAACAAGGCTAAGTTCACAGCCATTTTCTCCGATGAATATTCTCTCTCGTTTGCCTAATATTGGTGGTACATTGGGATATGGAAGACAAGAGGATGCTCATGAATTCATGAGGTTTGTTTCTTATTGCAACATTATCATTTTACTTTTTGTGGTGAAATTGTTCATTGACTATTTGGAATGATATCTAGATCTTAAATTTTGTTTGGTAAGATAGGAAGGTAATTTTTTTTTTGTATACTTTTTTTTTTGTAGTTTTTCCATTGATGCTATGCAATCTGTTTGCCTTGATGAGTTTGGTGGAGAAAAGGCTGTCCCTACTAACCTTCAGGAGACAACTCTTATTCAACACATATTTGGTGGCCGCCTTCAATCTGAGGTTAGACATTTAATCAGCCGAAATAAACATTTCTTGCTAGAAGGGATGCCTTTCTATTGAAGACTAATTATTATGTTGGCATGGGATTATTAAGTGAAATTTGCTGTGTTTTTCCCCCTGTATATGAACTTAAGAAGTTAGTCTAGGCTAAGGGCTAAGACTCCATATTGGTGTGGAGCTCTATTTTAGGTTGGACTTTGAAGAGTAATCAAATACCCTATTCGTTTTTTATTATCAAGAACAATTTAATGTTTTTAGAAATAATAAATAGTCGTAATACCTGTTTGAATGAATGTTTCTGGTGTTAACATTCTAAAACAGTTATAAGGATACATGTGTCAGAAACAAGAAAGCAATAACAGTTTGTTTATTTAGTTTATGGTTTGGAAGCAGTAACAAGCATGAAGAAATTGATTTCAAGTGCTGCTTTTGTAACAAAATAATTATCCAAACAATTTTGTAACAACTTTTTGTTCTTCAAAACTGTTTTCAAGTGCTGCTTTTACAGAATTGATTTCAAAATCAAAAAAAAAAAAAAAAAACTAAATCAAACATGGATATGTCCCATAGTCTCTAGTTTGAAATTTCTTGTTCTCTTTTCATCAACACAAACCTTGTCTCTTTTTATACATAGCTAGTGTTTGGAGAAATTGGCTTAGTGTCTGTTTTTTGTTTTTCAACCTTCCATGATTGAAAAACTTAACTTTTGAGCTTATTGTTCAATATGCAATCATTATGACAATGCAGTGGTACTTGCTGCTATTCCCATTTCCCACGAGTGTGTGTGTGTGTGATAGTGATATGACTAATACTTTTAAAGATAATTGCACTGCAGCACTTTAATGGAAGAAGCCTTTTCTGTTTACTAGGAAATAACACATTAACACCTTTATAAAATGTCATGAATGTTTTTTGTTGTTATTTTGATACTGACATGGATATGTCTGTCTTATTATTTTCTTTTTGCTTCTGAAACTAAATAGGTGATTTGCACAAAATGTGATAAGATTTCAAATCAGTATGAACATATGATGGACTTGACAGTTGAAATTCATGGAGATGCTGTCTCCTTGGAGGAATGTCTAGATCAGTTTACTGCCAGGGAGCGGCTTGATGGGGAAAATAAGTATAAATGTGAGGGGTAAGGTTACCTTTCCTTTTGAAAGATACTTATTGCATAACAAGGTTTATTATCACATTGCATATTATTTCTTGTCACTGATGTCATCCTTTAAAAATAATATTTGATTATAATCACTGTTTTTGTAGTTTGATTAATTGAATATAGAGGATAGCACGAGGATTTTATTATTTTATATTATGAACTGAAATAGAAGTTAGCCTCCCTCCCTCTAGCTCTAGGCAGAAAATTATGTCCACAAAGATGTTCTGTAGTAGTGAACCATGAATTGTAACAATGTAATAATGTTGCTAACTTAAAAACTCAATTAAAAAATTGTGCTGGGAGGCTCTCTATAAAAATTATGTATGTCCCAAATAGAATCTTTTTGTATAGACCACTGTCCCCATACAAATGATACAAATTGTTAATTATTACTATACAATCATTTATTTGATTCAAATTTAATTATATGTTATGACTACAAGTTTGGGTCACGGTCAACTGCTTTCTTGGTTTAGCTTTTATTAAAGAATTTGGAATGTGATCATATGATGTGTCCTGTCAAATCATGATGCTTAAGTTGATGCGTGGCAATAGGTTTGTAGTTTTCTGGCTATAGCAAAATTTCTTTTGCTCAAGAATTAGCCATAAAATTTATCCCTAATTTAGCTGTTGTTGCTTTTATTTCAGTTTTCTCATTCAGTTTTGTTTCCTGTTTAAATACAGGCTTGTGATTTTATTTTATTTTTTTAGTTTTGAGGTGTGTATTTTTATTACTGAGATGTAAAATTTGGTAAAATTTTCATAAATAAGGAATCTGTCAATGGTGGAAAGTGGTTTTGCCAATGAAAATAGAATTCAAACATTTGCTTTTGATAGTATTCTCACTTTTAGGCAGATCCTGTTCCTAAACAAGTTTTGCCGCTGCTTGTCAGGTGCAAGGATTATGTCAAGGCATGGAAACGCCTTACTGTGAAATGTGCTCCAAACATTCTTACAATTGCCTTGAAAAGATTTCAGGTCTGAGTAATTTGATCTAGACTACCTGGCTTAGTTGTTAGGTGCTATAAGTTGTTTAAACTTTAGACATCAGTTGTATCGTTCCTAGTACTTTCCCATCCTGTGCTTCATATGATATGAATTACATGCAAGTTAATTTAGCATGATTATATACCATATTTAAGCACATTAATTTTTATTCCCACTAGTATATAAAAGCATGAAAGACTTGTATTTATTGTGAACTATTCTTTTCATGTTTTCTTATTTTTTGTGGTGTTTTGTACATGCAGAGTGGGAGGTTTGGAAAACTTAACAAGAGAATAGCCTTCCCTGAGACTTTAAATCTTAGTCCTTACATAAGTGAAACTGGAGATGGATCTGATATTTATAAGTTATACGCTGTTGTAGTACATATTGATATGCTAAATGCTTCATTTTTTGGTCATTACATCTGCTACATCAAGGATTTTGGGGGAAACTGGTATAGGATTGATGACTTGAAGGTAGATTTCTTTGTTTCCTTATCTAAGTTGGAATATTTTTCTTTTTGGTCACTAAATACCCTGTATAATGTGCTTGAACGGTTAGTATCTTCATTTGTGTTGCATTACATTTCTCAGGTTATGACTGTGGAGTTGGAAGAGGTACTTTCTCAGGGAGCATACATGCTCTTGTACAGCAGGTATTCTTGTGATTATGTGTTAAAGAGGCTAATGCTCTCTTTCTCTCAGACTAATAATTCCAGAGTATTTGTGCTTCCTATTTTCATTTCTGCTGCCTGAATGATGCTGCCCTTTGAAATTAGGCTAACCTGTTTTTGTCAGATAGAACATCTGTTCGGCTAAATTAACATTGAACCCTATCTTTACATTTGATGGTTTAGGTTTATTCTTTATGATCCATTAAATTGGCCTTGGGCTTGATTTTTCTGTTAGGAAAATAATAACCCTAATCTTGTGAGTCTAATTTTAGTTATTTTCCCATATAGCTGGTTCTGTTAACATCATCTCAGGTTGTGCTAGTGAGTACTAATTTGAGCCTTTGTTAGGTGGTTTTGATTACAACTACTTCTGTATTCTATTATAAGCAAAATAAACTAGTTTTATGCATATTAAAAAGTTAGTTATATGCATTAAATTTTTATACTTACATAAAATTTTTCCTACATTGTCTTTGTTATAAATGGCAAAAGTAATGCAGCTGAAAGAAAGGTTATGCATTAAAGGATGAATATTTTAGGGAAATCTCATTAAATGAGACAAAAGTAGTTGAAATTTGCTTATATTTAAGAACAAGAAATGTATGTTTTTTTTGCTTATAATAGAGAGCAGAGGTAGTAACATGATATGTATTAGATTGTTTGGTCTTTTGAATCAAGGAACAGGCCAGCTGTTACAACACCAGCTCAACCTTTTTATATGGAGTAACTTATCAAATCACTCCCTGAAATTACTATCAGTCTATCAGCAATCTTTTTAGTTCCTGAAATTGTGGAAGAAAAAAAAAGTCCCTCACATTGACATCTAGAGATAATTTAAGCACCTGATGTTAGGATCCATCAATTTGATCCCTGGCTTTGTAATTATCCGTTAATTTGGGCCCTGATTTTAATGTGCATAAGTCAATTTGGTCCCTGATGTCTGGGACCAAATTGACTGGTGGTTGTCAAATTCAAGGAACAAATGGATTGATGTGTTAATGTTAGGGACAAAATTGACCGATGATGTAATTTTCTTATTTATAATATATAAGGACCGGATTGATTTTGGTGTGAATTTCATATGTTTACTCATTTTGTATACATCACTGTGGAAAGATTATGTTCTGGTCTTGTTTGTTTGTTAAGCTTCATCGTTCATTGTGCTCTATGTCATAGCCTTTTCTTTGGTTTACATGGGCAACCTTATGCCTTGGTGATATATTCAGTTTTATGTAGTTTGCTTAGATAATTTAATATTGGTGTTTAGTTTTGCATTCCTGATTTCTGGGTGAAATCCCAAACCTTGAAACTTTGAAGTTGGTTTGCACCTATTGAAAACTCTGGTTATTTGAACCTTTGACCTATCTTTATGATGTTTGATGAGGAATGGTTCCACAAATTCCAATAATTGAAGATGTGGTAAATGCATGTAACTTTTTTGAACTGTAATATTTGTCAATTTCTTTGTAAGAAAAGTACTGAAGAATTGCTCTATTTGATCCTGTACAGGTGTAGTGCCCGGCCATCAGGCCTTCAAAATCAAACTAATGAATCTTCTGGCATAGCAGAAGTGCAAACAACAGAAGTGGAAGTGGAGCCCGGACAAACTGAACGAGATGAATGCATCTCAAATATGAAGACTTTGACTCATAGTAGAGGTTCTGAGGTTTTGCCATCTTATATTTGTCCAGAATCGAAAGTTTCTTCCAGCAGCCATGCTGGATTGAACTCACAAGCCAAAAGTGAGCAGCCTGAGGGTATGGACATGATGGATGTTGATTCAAATGGCATTGCAAATGAGATTTCTTGTAGTGCTGTTGAATCATCTTATGTGCCTATTTCTCAAACCGTCAGAGATTTGGGGGACGTTGATATGAGCAGGTCTTTAGAAGAGACTACCGGCTGCAAGGAAGAGCAAGATAATAGCAATATGGCTAGATATGGTTCTTCTCCGGGTTTACCAAATGACTCAACCTTTGATAAACATTCTTCTATTTCAAGGGATTATCAAAACATGGAAGGTTCCGAACGTATTGATGTGGTTAAATGCAAGTTGATTACTGCTAAAGATAATGCATATTATGGTAATGGATATGTCAGTGCAAACAAGTCCGCTATACCAGTTGAAGATGCTGGCACACGATTTTCTGGTGTTGGTTCTTTTCCCACTGAAAATGACAGAGAAAATGGAATCAAGAAAATGGAAATATCAGCTGACATCTAGGTGCAGCTATTTTTGTTATTTCTTCATATCATTTAATTATCCCATCATCGAAAAAGGTGGTGAGTTGGGAAATTTTTTTCCGGGGTTTCATTATTTGTAGGAACCTTGGATCTTATTTGTAACATTTCTAGATGGATTTCCTAATTTAATTTTACTGATAGAATATAACCCCCTTTGTTCTTGTTTCCTTCTGGTCTTTGTACATAACAATAAAATGATTCTTTTAAGTTGTCGGGGACCTCCATGTTCGAGATATATGTGGCTTGATTATGTTGAAAAATAATAATTTTAACCAAAGACAGACGAACAGAAATAAATTCATTATTAGTTATTGATCGCACTCAAATTTTGAACGAGCATAAGGAAATGGTAACTTAACCGTGCATCTACTGTCATGTCATATTGAGGCCAATGAACTAGATTTGGTCCGGTAACTTGTCTATATTCCATAGAGGAGGTTCACAAGAGCTTTTTTCTACTTTTTGGTAAAGAGGCAAATTAAACCTAATGAGACTGTAGTGTATCATGCATGCACTAGGACCTTAGCGGCTTTTGCGAGTGAGAGCATCTGGTTGAGCTTAAAGCACACGAGGAGCAAGAAAAGAAAAAGGTCACAATTAACGGCTTTTGCTTTTCAACATTTGCCCTCACTCACCTCACTAATCTAATCCTTTTAGTTTTGTTGTAATAAAAAATACTTGTCTTGTGTATGGGGCTTGAGCATTGACTTGTAGACATGGAAGAGAGCAAAGCAAAAGAAGACAAAAGATTCCTTAACGAGGAGCCAAAAGGAAGCAAGAATAGAGGGTTGCTTCTTGCTTTTAGCTCTAGGAAGGTCAGCCGAAAACCACACGAGTCCTTTTGACAAATCACATTGTTGAATGTTGATCCTCTCAGTGGTCCTTTCTCTTTCTTTTATGCAAGGTAAAATGATTAAATAATTGACCAGCAGTTTTTTGTTTGTGTGCTGTGCTGAGTGTACCCTTTTCATTTTTCAACCCGAATCCAAAGCATAGCTATGCTAAGTCAACGAGTTATGCTATCTAATCCAACGGCATAGACATGAACATGATCGAATTTTATGTTTTAACAGCAAGCCAAAGCCACACACGGGTGTGTGGCGTGTGCGTGTGCCTTGTCATCATCACATGATACTGCCACAAGTGTCAACCGTCCAATCCAACCAAAAGAGTTCCCCAGGAAGCTTCCTACCTCACTTCCTACTTGTTGGGCTCGCTTTCCCCTTTTACCCTTTTTCACTTTCTTCTGATTTCCTCCTCCAAAGTCCTTTTTAAACACAATATTGTGTTCTCCAACACACTCACTCACCACCGTGTCCCCCTGTTTCTTTCTTTCGTCTCCTATCCACTCAACATAGCAGCTGCTTCACTTCTATTTTCAGGTTTTTTTCTTACCTTGATTGGTTTTTGTTCTTGTGTGTGCTGTTTGCTCGTTACTCACGAGTTATTTAAATGAAACCCCTTCCAGTGAGTGTTTCTTCTTGAGTCACTGACTGTTTCTACTATTTTCATTATCTTTGCGTTGCGAGGGTTTCTACTAAAAGGGTTAGGAAAAGACGGGAATTGCTTTGCATTTTGATGTCTCGAGCTTCATGTTTGTGAGGCTACGAGGGTTATTTATTTATTTTGTGGGGGGAGGAGGGTTTGCCCCTTTAATTGGTTATCAAAATTCATGAATGACACTTGCAATTGTGGTTCTAAATCTACATGGGGTCGGGGAAAGTTTTGATCTTTTTGGAAGCAGATAAATTGACCTTTTGGGTTATTACTTATTAGTCAATTTTCCCACTTTCAAAGGCTATTCCAATCATAGAAATCAACTGATGTGAATGAAGACTTTCAAATCAATTTGTTGATAACATCTTTGCCCCTTTGATTGTTTATGCAGTTGTTTGCTCCCAATTACTGGTCAATGGAACATAGTTTGAAAAGAAAGTCCCCAGAGAGTGGTCACCATCCACTCTTGAACACCTTTTCTCTGGATGATCTCAATGAGGACCTCTTGGAAAGGGTACTTTCGTGGCTACCAACTTCCTCATTCTTTCGCCTCACATCTGTGTGCAAAAGATGGAAGTCAGCTTCTGCTTCAGCGAGTTTCAAGCTTGCCTGCTCACGTGTTCCTTCACGTGATCCTTGGTTTCTGATGGTTGCTCCCAGCCTCAACCAATCTGTTGTCTTTGACTCTGCTGAAAACAATTGGAAAAGACTCAACCATTTGCACCTTTCGTGCGAAGATTCTAGCATAAGCTGCATTCCTGTTGCAGCCTCTGGTGGCCTAGTTTGCTACCGCAAACACTCCGGCGACTTTGTTGTGTGCAACCCTGTGACTGGATCGTGTAGTGACCTCCCTCCATTGCATTTTGCCCCAGAAAATCAGCCTCTCAATGCTGTTGTGATGAGCACAACTTCCATGGATCAAGTCTCATACAGGATTGTGTTGGTCTTTGGCGAACTCCCGAATCTTTTGTTTAAAGTCTACAACTCGAGCTCTGGCTGTTGGGAGGGCGAGATTGCACTGAGGAGGAAGGTTAACGATGACGATGATAATTCCATGGATTGTGATTCATCTGATGACAATGTTGTGTACTTCCTTAGCAAGGCTGGAACTGTGGTGGCAAGTAGCATGCAGAGAAGCCCTTCTAAGCAATATTCGTCGGTTATTACTAACAAAGATGGTCATGAGATAGTTTATTTTCTGAGCTCCTCAGGGACTGTTGTTGCTTGCAATTTAACATACAAGTGCTTCTTTGAGTACCCCAGGTTGTTGCCTGTTTTCAGTGAGTACTCCATTGATATCGTGGAGTGTGGCGGGGAGATGCTGGTTGTTTTGTTATCAGAATTCTTGGAAAGCACAAGTCTTAGGGTGTGGAAATTCGACGAGGCTAACCGGTGCTGGCAGCAGATTGCTGCAATGCCTGCAGCTATGTCTCAAGAGTGGTATGGAAAGAAGGCTGATATTAACTGTGTTGGAGCCGGCGATCGGATATTTATATGCTTGAACTCCCCTGAGCTGTGTACTTATGTTCTGTGTGATTTGGTGAGCAACAAATGGACCGAGTTGCCGAAATGTTGCTTGAATGGAGAAGTCATGGAGTTCATGTCTGCCTTCTCTTTTGAGCCCAGGATAGAGGCTTCTGTATGACACTGAAGTGAAGTGCCCCAGCCTGGTATCTTGATTTTGGTTATCATCCTTATTTGTGTTGTGTTAGCTTAAATTTTCTTCCCACTTGTATTTGTGATGCAAAATAGCTAGTGCTGATTTGTATGAAAATAGACATGGAAGCTCTAAGTCTAACCAAATGATTGATTGCTTGCTAACAGAGATATTGTAATTGTAATTCATTGCTTGTTAGATGTACACTGTTTACAGTGAATGGTATTATCAGTGAATGCACGGTTGATGATTCTTTTTCCTATGTTGGTGATAAATTGCTCAAATAATGAGCTTCCTCATGTCATTTATTTATTTATTTATTTTTTTAATGTTAACATCCATTTTAGACTTTTAGTCCTCTAAAGATATAGGTGATGTCAATTTGGTCTTTGGATGAAAGTTGACTTTAGTTCAGTTCTTCATTTATGCATAATGGTTATAAAATAATCCCTTTTGACATGGAAACACTTGGTTCAAGCATAAATGTCACGTGTGCTAGGGATCTTGTCTCCTTCTTTGTGATCTTGGTGAACTGCATTGTGGAGGAAGGTTCTCCCCACTCCATACTGCACTATTGAGATTTGGGTTACTTGAGATGCACTCTTAAGATTGGTATTGAAATAAAAGATACAGTTTCACCTTACTTCGTTCAATGTTGATTCATTTTGTAATGTTGATGCATTAAAAGCCACACAATTTTAGAAGAATCTATATTACAATGTGCCTTCACTCACGCCAATCATTTTGTAATGTTGATGCATTAAAAGCCACACAATTTTAGAAGAATCTATATTACAATGTGCCTTCACTCACGCCAATCATTTTGTAATGTTGATGCATTAAAAGCCACACAATTTTAGAAGAATCTATATTACAATGTGCCTTCACTCACGCCAACGTTGTACGTTTTGTCACGGATGGCAAATCATTCTCAGCTTGATGAAACTATAGGCTAATCTATTCCTCACGGTTCTTTTTAGTCTTGCCCTTAAATTTGATGTCATTACCGTTAAAAATGGGTAGGATTGGATTAACATGTCTAACATATATGGGTTCAAAAAGTAGTTCATCTCGTTTATAAGTTGGCTTGTCAAAAAATTTAAAATTAAAAAAGTAATTCAAAATATAAAAATAAAAATTATGTATATTAATATAATATAACATAAGCACTTTGTGCGTGTATTTTTTAAAATTAAAAAAAATTACTCAAATTAATTCACTTCTCCAACTATTTTTGGTTGGCTGCATTTTCAATGAAATAAAAATAATAGAAAAATTATAAAATAGTGAGTGACTTGTAATAGAGAATTGAGTAATTTAAGAGTAGTTATAGAAATAAAAATATTATAAAAAATGTGTACATTAAAAGGCTTTATTGTGTTTATATATTATTATAGATAAGCAAAAATATTATGAAAGAAAATAATTTTTTAAGTTCCTACTAATTACTAATATCTTTTTCACCTGTCCACTCAATGGATTTTGACTGTATTATTTCATTTAACACTTCTAATTGTTTTGTCTTCAATACTAACAGTAAAAAAATTGTCATGCATTTCTCCTCATAGTTCATCTTCAAAATTAAAAACCAGAAAATTACTTTTTTCATACCAAAATGTAGAGGTGTCGATTTGGAAAAGGTGGGTCAAAAAGGTATTGGGCCATTTTGGCTTTGGAGCCAAACTGGGTTGGTCGGGTCAATACTTTCTAGGCCTGAAACCTATCGAGCCCATTTGGTTCAGTATTTTTTTATTTATTTTCTTTGCAAAAATTAAATAAATTTAAATTAGTTAATTTGGTCCGACAGGTCTTGTCAGACTAGCCCAACTCACTTGTAAATATTGGCCTGAAAATAAAACTTGTAAAGCTTGAAATCTTTACCTCTTTTTTTTATACCTAATTTAAAAATAAAAAAGTTGCCCAACAAGTTGACCAGCTCTTATTTATGTCACAATAGTTTATTAATAATTTCTAATGTATTCACATGAATATTTCACAACTATTTGTTTAGAAATTTAACTCATCAAAGATTAAACAAACTATAAGATTTGATATTCTATACTTTGGCCTTTTATTAGTACTCACTTGTTCATTTCATTGGTTAGGAAGATATATTATGTGTTGGGATACAAACAAGTCTTCCATCGATAAAATAAGAGAATTTTATAAAACACAAGCATACTCTAATGATTGAAAAGCCTTTTGGATAATGACAAAAAGTAAAATTGTGAAGATTTAGGCACAAAACAGGCAATATCTCATCATTGTGGAGTATGCTTGTGTGATAACTTTACAAAAATAATCCTCATAAAATATTTTCTCAGACAAATATTATAAAATAACCTTGTCTCTGGTATCAGAGCATCAAGATGACCAAAAGCAAAACTGTGAGGACTTAAGGCCCAAAGCGGACAATATCTCATCATTGTAGAATTGTGTGAAATAACCTTATAAAAATAAACCTCATAAAATATTCCTTCAGACAAATACCATAAAATAACCCATCATTATGCAAGAGTGATTTGGTGTAGGTTGAGTGTTGCCTAACTGTGAGGGTTTAAGCACAAAACGGACAATATCTCATCATTGTGAAGTAAGTTTGTATGATAACCTTATAAAAATAATTCTCATAAAATATCCCCTCAAACAAATATCATAAAATAACCTCATCAGTGGTATTAGAGCCGTAAGATGACCAAAAACAAAATCGTGAGGACTTAGGCCCAAAGCGGACAATATCTTATCATTATGGAGTTGTGTGTGAAATAACCTTATAAAAATAACTCTCATAAAATATCCACTCAGACAAATACTATAAAATAACCCCATTATTATGCAAGAGTGATTTGGTGTAGGTTGAGTGTTGCCTAACCTAATCTTGTTCGGTTCAAGTATCAGGGCTTAAAAATAGTGAAAGCCTCATTTTTATACAATGCGAAATAAACCCAAACAAGAAGATAAGCACCATACATGTACTTTATGGATACTAATATACAAGAAGGTAAGCATTTTACAAGTCTTCAATGGATATTAATCTAATCATTAGAGTAGAAAATAAAAGTGTTTTTGAAATTTTTTTTAAAAATTCAAATTGAGTCGAATTGATTCATTTTATAAAAGTAGATTAGTTAATCGATCTATTTTTTATAAGGTGGATCAGTTTAATTTTTTTAAAATATGGATTGATTTTTTAAAAACTTGATAAGTTTGGTCATTTTACACCATATGGATCAATTTTTTAATATAATCGAAACAATTCACTTGGTAAAAATAGATCAGATAACTGAATTAATTCTGTAAATCGGTTCAGACTTTTTCTGAAAATAAATCAGATTTTTTTTTTATGTGGATCAGTTTAAATTTTTTGTACACTCCTACTAAAAAAGAAGAGACTAAAATACAAACAAAATTTTATAAATTTAAATAGTTGATAAATAATAGGGTCCCTTAACTATACCAATATTTGATTCTTAGTTCTTAGTTTTATGTATAAGAAAATTTTATTAGAATAAATTATACTCGATCTAGTGGAACAAAAAAAAAAAAAAAAGTGACACTAAAATAAGTTTAATTTAGAATTCATTCATTATTTATTTATTAATGCAATAATCATTAACTCTATTTCTATATTTACTTTTTTTTTTTTTTGCTATCTATAAACTCTACAACAACAACAAAAAATGGTTTTTTAACCTATAATATAAACTTCACACCATCAGGCCTTTAAGCAACTTACTAACATAGAGTTTTATGTGAAAATAAATAAATAACTTTTAAATTAGGGTTAATCATAAATTTTATAAAATTAAAAAATTTTGAAAATTTAAAAATAAAGATATCAAAATTATGAATTTATATTATAGAGGAAACAAAAAATATAATTTAGTCTTAATTAAATTAATAGTACTCTCTCTAATCTAAAATGTAATTTAATTAAGATTAAATTATATTTTTGTTTCTATAATCTCTATTTTTAAATTCGTAATTTTAATTTCTTAATTTTATAAAAATTTACAATTTCAATCCTCTCATTAAATATTTGTTCATTGATCATTAAAATTATAATGTTTAATGTGACATAACATTGTATAAGTGGCATAATAATTAATATTTGATAATATTTAAATTAAATAATATTTTTAATTCTTATTTTTATCTTATTTTATCACTTTTATAAGATAAAATTAAAGACTAAAAATTATATTTAGTTTGAGTATTATTAAATGTTAATTATTATATCATCTACTGAATATAAAATTATGACCAATGTTATAGTTTTAATGATTAGTGGATAAATATTTAACGAGTGGACCAAAATTATAAATTTTATAAAATTGAAGACTAAAATTACGAATTTAAAAATAAAAAAAAATTAAAATTGTGATTTAATATTATAGAATAATCAAAAATATAATTTAATTTTTAATTAAAATGAGAAAATATATTTACCCACTTTGAAATCAATATAAGTTTACCACTGATTATAATATTTAATTGAAAATTTAAAAATTAATTTTACTTTTCTCCCTTAAAATTACACAATCTTACAATTATTTTCCTTCACAACATTTCTTTTCATATTTTTAAATTTTTTCAACATGTTAGTTGAAGATTCATATATTAATTAATCAATAATATAACAACATTTATTACTAACATAACATAATATAAGATACTATCATGATAATACGACACTAACATAAATTATGTGACAATGCCAGTTGTTAATTACCTTATATTTCTGTTAAAATAAATATCATTTCATCAAACATGTCCATAACAAGTTGTAAGAAAATATAATATAAATAAATAAATATTTTATAAATAAAAATATAATTTTTTATTTAATAATTTAGGAAATTAAAAAAATATTAGAAGTATATTTAAAATTAGGATTTAAAGATGCTGCACAATTTTACACGGTTACTCTATCATAAATTATTATAAATAATAAATTTCTTATTTTTTATAATAATTAATATTTTAATGTGAAGTATATATTATATATTTATTATATATAACTAAAATTTAAAATAATTATATATAAAAATAAATATTATATTTTAATATACAAATTATATTTAAATTGAATATAAATGAAAATTGCATGAATTGGTCCATTAACTTCATTTTATTATATAATAAATGAGGGAGTTATAATAATATCGGTGTAATTTTTGTTAAGTGTTACACTGCTCAATAACTTTATATTAAATACGAATTTTGTAAATTCAACTGTTAGATTGAAAGTTCACATTTAATATAAAATTATTGAGCAGTATAATACTTAGTAAAAATTATATCCGTGTAATTATAATCCCCTCATAATAAATTAACATTAAAAATTTAATTTTATTAAGTTTGACAGCAAGATATACAGCTGCATCCTAAGGAAGAAACAAACTTTTATGAGTGTGTTACGGTAAATGAGAATTCCCATCTTCCAAAGCACGAAAATATGAAACAAAAATAGTAGTTTTTGATCTAATATAGGTTTGAAAGTCATGTATTGTCAACACAAACATCCACTGTAATGTCACGGACTCGGTTTACAAACTCGGTTTACAACAAACAAACAGATCATGTGACTCGTAATGTGACCCTAGAGAATTCGTCGCTCGCTTTCCTAGAATACTTTTTATGTTCTTATCTAATTTATGAAATACTATATTAATAATAATTAAATATATCTATTTTATGTATATAAATTTTGAAGTTTTTTATTTTTAAAATTACTTTTAAATCACATATTCTCTTTCACTGTTTTTATTTTTATTTTTTATTTTATCATAAAATTTATTCTCCTTTTAAATAATAATTATTTTTTTTTACTAATCTTGTGAAAATAAAAAGTGTACGAATTAATATAATCATCAGAGCGAATGACGTGGCCAAAAAATATGGGAGATGTAATCGGTGGACTCGTTCGTAGTGGATTATCCCTTCTGGTTTCCCCTTGTCGAAGAAAATCTTTCTCCCCAAGATATAAAAGGATAAAAAAAACAAAAGAAGAAGAAGAACAACATCAAAGGAATTCTAAATTTTAAAGCTTTGAGGAGAAAATGGATTCAGAGGATTTGTTGAAACAAGAATTGGAGGAATTGCAGAAACAATTGGGGAAGAAGCAGCAGTTTGAAGCCGCTGTTTCGTCCCTCAAATCCCTTCTCCAACCCATATACCCATCAGCTTCTCCTTCGCTTCGCAAATCCGTATGATATTCCAATTTCTCGTTATAATTTATTACTTGTTGTTGCTACAATGTAACTTTACAATGTTTCTAGGTTTGTTTATTTGAGTTTTGTTAGAAAGAACTGATTTTGATTTGCTTCGATTGATGATACGGTTGAATTTATAAAATACTTTTTTTTTATGAACTTTGCTTATATGATTTTATGGTGCCAATCATTGATTCAGCTGAAAAGTCTGTGGTTGGAGTCCTTCTAGTGATTTTCAATTGCAGGTCATGTCTAAACCCCTAGGAAGCACGAACAATTTCAATTAGTAGCCTTGTGATATCATATTCTTGTTGAATATTGTATAATATATGAACACTTTGAAGTCTTCCGACTTTTATATATATATATCACATTGTTTAGATAAATGCCTAAGTCAAGGTTTTAAAAGATGGTCTGTTGCCACAAGGTTTTTGGGGTCTCTGCACGCACATTGTGACCTTGATTGTGGCTGTATTAGTTGCATTTGTATGTAATTCTTTCATAACATCAACCATTGTGACAAAACTACAACTGCAACTATGAACACAGTTTAAAGACCTTTATCAATGATGACTCATACTCATTTTTTAACCGTGAATTCTCTTTTATGATTTAAATTTTTTATTTTAAACTAAATTTATGTGTTGTATTATATTCGTGTATTGTCTCATGATATTAAAAATCCCCCTTATGATTTGTATTGCATCTATGACATTTATTATTCCCGGGCTGTTTGGCTAGATAACCTTGTTGAGGGTTGTGGCATGCGTGACCTTTGAATGGGTTAACATTCCCTTTCTCTGAACTATGTTGTAAAAGAAAATGTTAGTTAAAGAGATAAAAGCCAAGAAATTGACTGTGTTGTTGCCGGTGTTGGCAGTTTTATTCGGTTATATGCCGAGTTGCTACGGTGTTGAGGACCAGGTATACAGCGCCAGGTTTCTGGAATGCTGGAATGGACCTTTTTGAGCAGGCTCATTTGCTTGTTTCTGAACCTTCTGAGAAGGAGCACTTGAAGGCTTGTATTGCTCTGGCCAGAGAACACTTGCATCTAGAAGACGACCCATCACAAGCTTCACAACCTGCAGATAATCAGGCAAACAGAGGTGATTTTCCTTTTAGAATAATTGTGTTTTTTTTTTTTTTTTTCCCTTTTCTTGAGGTTGTTATTTACAGTTTTTCATGTTTATGTACATACCTTTCCAAGGTTTTGAATCATTTACCTTTTCTTATGTTTATCACATTTCGCATTGATTAAGGATATCTTTTTGAGGGGCACCTTACGGTTGATCCTGAACCACCACAGCCTCAATGGTTGGCTCAGTCAAACCTCTTGACAGCAGCTGCTACACTCTTCGCTGCTGAATCCTCTCAAGCTTCAGCAGCAAATGATACCACTCAAGAGGATGCCGCAAATATGCTTCAAGATCTTATAAATAGATTGGAAGAAGTTGTGCCGTTGGTATTTATTCAAACTCTTTTTATGTGCTTCTGCTAATCATTGTTTATCACAGTTTCAATTTTTCGCTCTTAAGTATCACCATGGGTTTAAATTTAGGTTTGGTTTCTGAAGTAGGATAAGTTTCAAGAAAGAGGCATAATGTGCCTAGTCATTGTTTGAACATAAGCAAAACCAGGCTATTGTAGATTCATTTGTGATCACTGACAAAATTATTTAGGCTCAATTTGGAACTTGACTATACCTAGGTGACTTTTAACAAGACTTTCTTCAGGTTGAATTCAAGAAACCAGCCTACTTGTAATTGGTTCAATAGAATACTTTTTCACAATAAATTAAGGAATCAATGCAAACAGCCCAAGTTGCAAGTATCAAGTTAACTTCTGTTTAAATCCTTATACATACTATTCCTTATCGGGGTCACTTTAATGGATCTGTTATTGATGTTAATGCATCATTTGGAGGGTAACTTGGTATAAACAATTTACTTGAACTCATTTTGTTACTTCCTTGGTCACAAAGTGGCTCTTTTCAACTTGTTTTTTGATTGATATATGTATTTTATCTATTATGAGCAGCCCTTCCCTTGTTACACTTTGCAAATTTGACTCAATGAAGACTAGCTGTAATTGTTTTTGTTTTTGGTTAGATGGTGGATGGAGGTGGTACTGTAGCTCCAAGAGTTCCTCCTGCTAGTAAAGAGGTTGTGGCAAAACTTCCGGTCATTACTCTCACAGAGGAAATCCTGGCTAATTTGGGTAAAGATGCTGAGTGTGCTATTTGCAGGGAGAACTTGGTTTTAAATGACAAAATGCAAGAGTTACCATGCAAGCACACATTCCACCCACCGTGTCTAAAGCCATGGCTGGTATTGTCCCTAACTCACCAGATCTATTGGAAATTTTATGTTCTCCTTTTGAAACCAATTTCATGCATTTTATACTATGGAATTCTAGAAGAAACAACATGATTAGATATAAAGTGTGTTCAATTTTATCCTTTATGCGGCAGGATGAGCACAATTCTTGTCCCATCTGTCGATATGAGCTGCAAACTGATGATCATGCCTATGAGAGCTGGAAGGAGCGTGAAAAGGAAGCTGAAGAAGAGAGGAAAGGTGCTGAAAATGCCATTCGAGGTGGTGAATACATGTATGTTTAAATGACCATTTAATGTACGATTAAATAATATATGGTTGGTCCTGTAACAATGGATATGAAATTTTCATTTGGTGAATAGTTGTGTATTCTTTAATCTTTATTATTTCAAGCTAAAGAGCCGTCTCAAGTTTTTAGTGTTGTTCAAGGGTTTAACAATAGTTCATAAACTGCACCCAATTAGCCATTTAGGTTATAACTAAAATCAAAGCTAAAATGAAAATTTGTAATGATAGAAAAACCCATCATTGGAGAGTGGTAAACATGACACTGAAGGTGGGTTCACGTTTTACTAATCCGTAGTTGGTGTTAAGAGAATTAGGGAGTACAAATCTTATGCATCATTTTTGGAAATATCTAAAAAACTTCTCATATTTTGAGGGACGAATAATAATGTAATTGACAATTTCACTAAACTAACCGGATAACCAATAAGGTTGCAGGTGTTGACTAACCCCAGCCAATAGTCATTGATTATTTTTCAGTAGAATGAATGATGCTCAAGGCACGGAGTATTCATGCTCCAAAATGCTAAAACTTTAATTTAGTCCTTTATAATATTTTAAAATTTTAATTTAGTCTTATTTTAATTTTTGAGTTCAATTTAGTCTCATTTATCAAAAATATTAATAATGTTTGCCTTTTGTCTAAAATCCATTTAGAAGTGTCCATGTGATTGAGAATCACAAACGTGATTAAGAATTTTTACTTAACAGATTTTTTTTATATGATTCATACCGTAAGAATCACGAGTGTGATTAAGAATCACGGGTGTTCTCACGGCTCTTAAACAGCATTTGGTGAGAAATTTAGATAGAAGACAAACATTGTTAGTATTTTTGATAAGACTAAATTGAACCCAAAAATTAAAATAGAACTAAATTAAAATTTTAAAATATTATAAGAGACCAAATTAAGGTTTTAGTCAATAACAAATTGTATATGATACATTATTTGATTTAAACCGGTTAAGTTCGATTTAGTAAATGATTTGATTAGTTAATCTAATTCAGACTAACTAATTAAAAGATCAATTGAATAATTGTTGTGTATATATTTTTCTCCAAGAGTATCTTAAATAGGTCCAATGTGAATAGTCCTATGTAAAAAGCCCAAGATGGTCTTAAATAATAAAAGTAATTTGTTTGTATATTTAATAATTATAAAAATTAAACATATCAAAATAAACTCCTGTATGTTGAGATTTTTGCCATTAAAGTAGGTTTTTACATCCTACACCTTTTGTGAAAGTTATTGAGGACACACCTTTTGTGTTGTCTCTCACCGAATCTGAGCCTATGATGTCAATATTACACCAATAAATGGCTAAATATGTCAAAATAGAAGATAACCTCACCGAACAAGCTTCGATGCCCCTACCCTAGATAGGACCAGACTTATTTAATGGCAAAGCGGTCAAAATGACATCAACATGAACAATGTTATAAAATATCAAACCCGTCTATCATTTAATGATGAAATCAGAGAATTATTTATTAAACCGGTATAAAATTGGTTTATATTAAAATTTTAAAAATAAGATAATTAACATAATTTAAGATTAAAAATAATATATATAATATTTTTATAACACTTAATATACAATATATGTTTAGTTAGTGGTAAATCAACATTAAAAACTATGTCAACCCGAAGGTACTAGGTTTAAATTTCAGTTAGTGCCTAATATTTTGTTATTATTTTTTATTATTTGAAAGAAATTGTATATGTATAGTATATTTGTATCATATGATACGCTCTTTCTGATTAATTTACATTCGAGGTTCTGTTATATCAAAATGCATGTTTTAAATTTTTGTATCATTTAACATACAATATATGCTTAACCTAACGATAAATCAACACTATTTTAACTTGAAGGTACTCGCCTATACACACACAAATATATATATATATATATATATATTATATTTGGGTTTGTATGTTATATATGATAAAGTTTTACTTCTATATAATAATTTTTTAATATTTAAATCATATTATAATTAAAAATAAAAACAAATATAAATTAGATTTAGGATTTATAATAAAATAAATAATTTTTTTATACTAAATTATCCTTAGCTATTATTGATTTCTTAAAAAATATTTAAAATCAATTTAAAAATAATGATAAAAGAGAATAGATTAAAAGATTATAGTTATACAGTTCCAAAAAAAAAAAAAAACAACTCAACTACTCATAGAGATAAAATAAAGATAGTTTGAAATGGTTGTAAGAAAATTATTTTAGTTAAATTTAAGAATGTGAAATGCACATCGAATAAGAAAGAGGGGAATATTGAATACATTTAATTAAAAAATGTGATTTGAAATTGAAATATAAACCTATGACATAACCTTCATTATAAGTTTTTCTTTTACTGCATTTTAAATTATGAAAATAATCCTTTTATAATGTGAAAATAATTTTAATTATATATGTATATTATATTTACAAAGTCTTGAAAATTTAGTGGGAACAGTTGCCCCCACCCTATCATAAGTAGATCTTTAAATTCGTCTTTAATTTGAAATTGATTTGTATTATTTGTAAGATTTTGAATATGTATATATATTTGTATGATATAACATACTCTGCTGTGCTTGGTCTGGTGGTAAAGGTGTTTTACCTTAACTTGAGGGCTAAGGATTTACGTTAATATGGGGCGTTTTACTTTCAAGTCTCCTTATACCAAAACGCATGTTTTAAAATTTTCTTATTATTTTAAAATTATTTTTTCATAATAATCGACCAATTTAATCGAATCAATTTACATATGTTTTTGTATAATATTTTAATAAAAATTAAAGTTTCACTTTAATAATATGTATTTATATTTAACAAAGATCTAATTGGTCCAATATATTATGTGTAAATACATATTTCTGACGTAAAATTTCAATTCTGATTAAATAATAGTTTCTAACACATGATATTGTCCCTCTTTTAGCTAGTTAGTTTGAAAAGGATAAAACTTAAGTGTATTTTTTTGTGTTATTGTTGATACTTCTTTCTAATCAAAATTAAAGCTTTATCTAAGTAATATTATATATATATATATATATATATATATATATAAATATATATAAATATTAATGATATTTATGTTAAATACAAGTATATATTATTTTAGTAAAACTTCAATTATAATTCGAAATCATAATTAAGAAAATTGAATTTAAATTATTCTAAGTTTTGTACTTTGAGTAATTGGTTATCATATTTTACATCATAAGACCAATGCCTAAACTAAATATGATTATCCATCAAGTTTATTTAACCAGTGAATGCTTTTAAAGAAGAATCCTTTATCTTGTTCGTTGTAGACACCAATCTATCAATGGGGATAGTGTCACACAATCTTTCAACACTAGCATCTCCAGTCACATTAACAGCAACCAATCACCTCATCACTTTCAGTTCATTTGATGAGAATTTAAAATAACTTATATTTAAAACTCTGGTATTAGAGACTTTACTAGCACAATTGTTACACTATCAAGTTTATATATATTTACGAAAAAATTATGAGGAAACTTCAAAGAAATTAAGATACATCAGTTAAATTTAACTTTTAATAAAGTAAATTACTTACCTTATTCATTCAATTCTCTACTCCTATATATGTTTATTAAAGAAATTATCCAAATAAGTTCAATGCGTGTTAAAGCATGTTCAGCTATCAAAATGATAAATCAACCTTGCCATAAAAGTTCCACAACATCTCAAACGAACTGCACTACAAACAAACGTAAACCTTGCTTAATTTTGGATAAAAATCATTATCATATCGCTAGCAAAGCCTTCATATAACAATCATAATTAATGTGGTGAATATCCACCCAAGTATATCGTGTAAATACAAACAATGTAGAACCTTTCACCCACATATCAAAAAATAGACTAGCGAAAAACAAAAGTATCTCATTTGATGTATTTAACAGCATTCTTCAACCCAGCAAATCTATCATGCTTAAAGCTGACTTCACAATGGAACCAGTATTACCTCAACAATGAATATTTTCTATTTAATCATCAGTACTGTATAATATATCAAGCTTATAATATATATCAAAATGCCTTATATACCCCAGCCACATTTTAGCTTGGTACTAAAAAACAGATGAATCACAATAACTTCTCACCAAATTGCAACCATTATTAACTTGAAAGTTCACTCAAATATACACTAGCGCCTGAGGCTTAGGAAATAAAGTTTCCAAAGCAGCACCCTCAACTGACCAACTTGTGCTTACACTGATGGTAAAATTGCTGCTGTGCAAAGCATTCCCAAAGTGTAGATATCTCCATAACAAGCTTGTTGATATGTAAAGGATTCCATGAACATAACCAACACATGGTTGTTAAGATCAGAAAACTGTGAACCAAGAGGAACCTTGGATCCGTCAACTACCAGGCTTTACCCTACTCCACCTATTTCCGGATCTTGGTGTACTTAGGTTTGAGTCACGGGGCTCTGAGAACCTATCATTTCTACGGGCAGATCCCATTGCATCGTTCCTGCCACCTCCTCTCCTGTCTTTATATCTCTTCGTATGACGACTAGGTCGGTGCCCACTTGATTTCTTTTCCTGGTGGACCTGGTCAGCTTCATAGGCCAATGGTTGGATCCCCTGAAGATCAGGTTCTGGAACATACGAAAAAGGGCGCTTGGATGTATCCATTTTTCTAAATGTGATTGATATCCTAGTAAAAATTTTAACAAAAATCAAGACAGATGAATAATATGTGATTTGCTTAAAAGCCACAAGCTAGAATATCAAATAGTTTGATACCTTTTTGTAGGAACTGCAGGCACACAATGCTTAGCTACATCAGCTCCATTCCCGTTTAAGACAAGTACAGATCTGGAGAAAAAGACTACCTATAAGATTCTGAATTTTCTATATAAGTAAGAAATTGATGAAGTATTCAATCTTACTATATCTTATCTAAAGACATGTAATAATAGTTGAAAAATTATAGGAAAAATTGTGATTTTAGTTCCTATACTTCCGGTCAAACATGTTAAAGGTCCCTATACACTTTTATATCGATGAATTAGGTTCTCAAATTTTAAAAAACAAGTGGCATCAAATCGAGCCATCAAATTGAATAAGAGGATACACGAGTTAAATCAGAATGAATACTTACCCCAGAGGTAACGGAATAGCAATCGAGCCATCAAATTCACCCGGGCCTACAATCTTCAAGTTTGATCCAAAAACTATATCGCACTCACTAAGAAATGAGACAGTGCAAAATGGCCGAACAAAATCATGATTATCTATATGTGGAGGTATACAATCCCCTTCTTCATAGATATTAACAATGCAACTGTCTGGCACACAAGTAGGAGGGAGTACATGCCACTTGATCAGGCGCCGAATGATGACCTTGAAAAGATCAGGTATAGGATCAACCATAGCACGAGGAAGAATACCAGGTGGGTTACCATCTCTATCCTGTAAGCAGAAAGTTAAATAGGCAATTATACCTCATCCCCAAGCAATAAGATACTCTGTTTCCAAATAAAGAAATGTAAAAGCAGCATGACAGATAGACTAACCACAGCATAATTGTAGCAGCACCCAAATTGGATGGTTTGACGTCCCTTGCCCCTCATCCACTTTTGAGGAGCTGAAAATGTCCGTTCTGAAAAAGTGAAGAATTAACATCATTTAGTCCATCAGAAAGTGAATGATTAACAACACAACAATATTTAACGAATAAGGAATCTAAATAATGATTTATAGTATGAACTAGCAATACAAAAAAACTAAATATGGATGTTTGATAAATCAGCAGTAATTGTATTGCTAAAAATTATCTGAATAGAATAACTGATGCAACAGAACAAACATGGTATTGAAAATTAATACATCAGATATAACAGGATTGGGAGACTGCAAATCATTAATTTAAATCTACAATGGGTTGCAGTTATAGATCATCAAATTCATTATGTTACATTACACTAGTCAGCAGTTGTCCACAGGAACACTATAAATCATCTGATTACATTTATATTAGAAAAAAGGTAAATATACAATTTGACCCTTGACCTTGAAAGCATTTATCCAAAGTTCTAAACTTGCCAACCAAAAAACCCCCCACTAAAGTCATTAAGCTTGTTAACAAGTTCATCCCTTCGAAGAACAATTGAACTTGTAGGACTAAAGCAACTCACGTAATAAATGCCAAATTGTATAATTTTGACAACAATTGTTGACATTCAACCGTATTAGGTACACGTTATTTTCTTCGTCCTTTTTTCTTTTTGGTGTACAATGATGGTTAAGTTTGATCCTGATCTATGCATGGAATACATCCAAAGTTGTCAAACTCGAGAGTTAACGTAAACTCATGGAGGCTCATTAAACTCAACTCATAAACAAGTTTAGTTAATAACTTAATATAAGAAAAATATTAAACTTCTTATAAATAAGGTAAAATAATTAAATATTTCAATCTTGTAATAAAGCAACTCAAAACCCCAAATCTGTATATATTATATTTAGTGTATACAATAATTAGTATACATTATAAATTTATAATTATTAATTAGTATATACAATATAACAACACAACTAGTATTTTAAACAATTGAATAATCTTCCCACAAAAAAAAAAAAACCAAAGAAACCAGTATTTTATTTAGTGCTCCCAAATCAGTCTATATATATCCCAATACAGTACACTCAAAAAGAAAGACAAAATGAGAAGCAAAGAAATTGCATTTTGATAAAAACAAACAAAAAACAATGAAAAAATCACAACTCAAAAACACCCTAGACAAACCGAACTCACCACTGAGTATGCGTAAATTTGCTCCAATTTACCCGAGCTTACTCAAAAACAAGTTACAAGTTTGCATGGGTCATGAATTCGATAACCATGATAAAGGAGATCAACCTCCTAAATGAATCTCAATGACTGAAAGGACTAGTCTAAAGAGTATGTTTGGTTTTCAGTTTGAAGAAGACAAACGTACGTTCATTTGAAAACTTCCCCCCACATACTTCTCCGTTTATTTATTTGCCTAGGAATGTGTCCTACCAATAGAACAAGCACTCACTTTGTCTCTCAAACAGAAAAATACCCTGATTTCAACGGAAAGAAACCTAAAACTTCATGTTAACTATCCAAACCCCCTACACTACCCGCCGAACGCATCATCATTAGACAACAACAACAACAACAACAAAACAGTGAAACAAACACATAACAAAATCACAAAAACAGATACAAAGAAAACAAAAGAATGATCCGAGATGAGAATACAAACCTTTCAATTCCCCCTTCCTCCCCATCTCCTGCAGTGAAGCAACATAATTAACAATCCTCCTCTGTTCAGCAGCGCTGAAAATCCCGGTGTGGAGTTCAAGCCCTTCAAGAATGTTGACAAGCTTCCCATTAACCCTCTCAAAGCAAATGAAGTCCTTCTTGCGCCTCACATTCATGAACCTAATGTACTCCCTCTGCTCCCTAGGCAAAGTAGGCTTCTCAGCAACCACTTTACCCTCATCACCAACACTCGAATTCGCCACCACAACGCTCCCACCGTTTTCACCATTGCCATGCTCCTCCTCGCCGAACTCGTCGTCCTCTTGGGCCATGTCGGCCCAAGAAAGCCGCGCGCTGGGGGCCCCCACGCCGGAATTGGGCTCCGCGACGCCGTCCTTCCAGCTCCCGAGGGAATGGTTGTCGCAGTTGTCTTCGCCGTCGTTCGCCTCTTCGGCGGTGTCGTTTCGTGACCCTGCAGAAGACGCAACGCAAGCAAAGGGTGAGACCCATGTGGGAAAAATCGAGAATTCGAGGGAAAGTGAGGGTTTTGGAACCTGGGTCGATGGAGCGGATGCGATCGGAGAGGGATTGGGTGCAGCGGGTGCAGAGATCTCGCGAGAGGAAAGGGAGCCACGTGGCCAGAAACTCCGAAGCTGTTCGGAGATCCGAGGTTGTGTAGTTTAGGAGGAAAGGGTCGGTGTCGCTGTCGGAAGCTTGGCTGTGGTTGTTGTTGTTGTTGGGTTGTTGGTCGTCCATGGCGCTGAGTCAACTCGGAGACAAAGAACGCAGAGAAAGTAGAGACCGCACAAGGAGAAGAAGATACTCTGCTTCTGCTTTTGCTTCCTCTATTACTGGAATTTCTTGTTTCTTCTTCTTCTTATTGTTATATTTATATATACTAAAATATTTGATAAGATTAGATTATTAAATCTGGAGGGATTAAAATTAAATCATTTGATTGTGTTATCTTTAGAGTTACCTTGAAAAGATAATCAAATCTGTTAACTTATCAAAACAAAATTGATAACTCAGAAGAAAATTTTGTATGATAAATTTGTTAGTTTAAAATTTAAATTATTCTACCTGTTTCTCTATTTGTTTATATTATTGAATTTGTTCTTTCAAATTGCTAAATTTGGATTTCCTTGTTTCAATTAGAAGCAAATACAAAGAGAAGCATGGAGGTTGAAAACGTTTTTTTGTGGGAAATTATATTGAGGAGTTTGTTTTAAGTAATTTTTTAAATATTTTTGAAAATATAAAATTGACAATATTTATTATCATATTTATTAGACAGTTATAAAAATATATTTGTTTCACGTCGTAATAAAATTGTATTTTTAGAAATTATATTTTTAAAAAGAGTTTGTTTTAAATAATTTTTTGATATTCTTGAAAATATAAAGATGAGAATATTTATTATCATATTTTTTATATGATTATAAAAATATATTTTTAGATATGTTTTATCATTAAGAATCTAAAATTTCTCTATTTTACATGTTTTTCATTCTCGTGATGGAGGATGAGTATGTTTCTCATATATAATATTCTTGAGAATGTGATTCTCAAAAATAATATGTTGTATCTAAAATAATATAAAATAGAATATTATTTATGAAAATATAAGAAAATTATATTTGGTTCATTTTAATGTTCTTAGAAATATTTTTTTAAAATTTAAAATAATTTAAATGAAAATAATATTACAAAGGTTATAAAAATTAATTTTTAATATCTCATGAGAATATTGTATACCCATCTTGCTATCATGGGAATAAAATTTTCTTATTCATGGAAATATATATTTTTTGAAAATAAAAGATGTGAAATGTTGTCATATTTTTTGAATAAATATAAAAATAAATATTCTCATCTTCATATTTCTATAAATACATGAAGATAATATGAAATAAATGTCCTCCAAGTTATTGGTCTTTATCAAAATTTGGTGTAGAAAAGTTGTGAAACCGTGATATGCATGACGACGCATTTTGTGTGTATTGATAAACTGTGTGGTAATAACTGACAGGATGTTTATTGATGAATTGTTGATGGTTGTAATTGCTGTTATTACTTAAAAATTTCCCTATATCTTGTTCTTTTTATACTAGCTTACCCTTGTTGTTTCCATGTGTTTGGACTGCGATGATCATACTTGTATGGGAGCAGAGCAGGGCTAGATTTGTGATAGGAGCAAGCTTATAGCTGGCAGAGGACGGGGAGTCTTAACTGGCTGATGTTTTGGATGTTAAGCCACTATCTGATTATTTTGGATTGTATTTTATATTGTACGCCCTAACTCTAGTCGGATTGGAACATTTGTATATATTTATATTCTAGATCCTATATTTATATACTCGTTCTATTCTGTCTAGTGTTTCCGGTGTGCTGCGGTTATGAGTGTGGTGACCTGCCGGGTCGTTACACTTTAAATAGAAAAATATATTTTCATTTTAAAAGTGATTAAATTTGATCATTCTAAAATATTTTGAAACATATAAATTATATTTTAAATTTATTATAAATAATTTAAATTTAAACTATAGTACATAATTATTTTTAATTATTGATAATTTTTATAAAAAAATATTAAAATTTAATTTATAAATAAAAATTGAATTAGATAAGAAGTTAAAAATATCTCTAAAAATGTTTCGATTGAAAACTAACCCTTAAAAATACTCTTTGAAAAAGATAACTTTTGTGTTAAAAAAAGTAAATAAATAAAAAAATTGAATTACATAAGAAATTAATTTTTTTTACAAACGCTCAATAAAAACTGATTCCCAAAAACACACTCTTATGTACGAATTTAATATATAGGAATTGATTTATATATTTAAACATAGAATTTATTTATATATATATATATATATAATTTATCTTAAATTTTAGTTCTATATATTAAATATTTAACTTGCTTCAAAAAAAATATATTAAATATTTAACCTAATAAACTAAAATACCTATAAATATGATAAATAAAACCTATAATCTATAACATTTGTCTCAATTATTTTAGCACCATATTACCCCTATAATAACTTCAAACTACCTTATCTATAAATACAAATTATCCACTATTAAATAACTTCTATTATTTTTATTTATTTTAAAAAAAATACATCATGTCATCAATTAGCGTTATATTAACAAAAATATTAAATTTTTAATAAAAGATACTAAAATCATATAATTGCTTGAAATGAACTAAAATTACTCAATAAAAAATTGAAAAACTAAAATTACAAAACTATGAATGATATTTTAAGAATTAAAATAGTTCAAATGCTATACTTGAGAGATAAAAAACTTATTTAAGCTTTTTATTTTAAAATTTTTATTTTATACTTTATTGTTATTTTAAATCTTTGTTATCTCTTTTCTCAGTAAATAATAAATTAAAAGAATTTTAAAAACTATTCTTATTGAAAAAAAATACTTTCACTAAGGAAAAGTTCTTTAAAACACTCTTGCTCAAAAAAAATCATATTTACATAATATAAAATAGTGAATTACATGAATTATATTCATTTAATTTATTTTATTATATAATAAATTAATATATATTTTTATTTTAATGGTTAAGCTATTATTCCATCTCATCCAATAAACATGATATTTTTTAAATAGTAATTTTTTTTAATTAATTTACAAATGAATAACCCTGTCATCTTTTGTGATAAATCATGATCTCATCGTATACTCTAGAGCGTATTCAATGAAATTGAAACATGTCAAACTTTTAGAATAAATAAATTTTAGTTTTAAATAATTAATTAGGATTATCTTATAATTATGAGTGTTATTAAATGAAAACAAAATAATTAATTTAAAGATTTTATAGATAATAATGTTTTAGATAAGAAAAATAAGATTTTGAAATTATTTTAAAAGATGTATTTATCTTATTTATCTTTAAGTTTTAATTAATTAAAGGATGGAGAGAATATGATTAACTGACCGGTGAGTTAGGATTTTTAGAGTTTAAGTCAAAAGACAATCACAAATCCTTTAAATTTAGAATTTTAACATTAACAAACAAAATATTTTTTATAAAGAGAAAATGCCCACAAAATGTCTTTGAAAAATATATCAAATAAAGTGTAAGATATAAATTATTTGTAAGATGCTATAAATCATGAAGTATAAAGTCAGTCTCATATACATTAAATGCTTATTATTTATTGGGACTATCGACAAAGACTTTTAAATGCTTCATACCTCGACAAATCGAACTAGAAGATTATCTTGAAATTTACAATTCTGTTCAAGAGAACAAACATAACACTTGTGTAACCTTCGCAATCATTATTATAATGTTAAACTTGGAGAGGTTTGTCTGCAAATAATACTTGTTTTAAGTCTGAAGAGACTTGATTGTAAAAAAATACTTAATTTTTAAGCCTAAGAGACTTGTCGTTAAAAAAATACTTGGGTAGTTGCTTGAAGAGGCTGGTCAAAGAATATTTAGTGTTAAGTTAAAAGTGGTTTGTTGAATTAGTACTTGTATCTTTGTTTAAAGATAGTGAAACTTAATTTGATTGATTTTAGAATTGGACGTAGTTTTAGTGATTGAGACGAACCACTATAAAAATTTTCAATGTTCCATTTGATTGCTCTTTACACTTCATCTGACCAAAGTTACTACTTCATTACAAAAAATTGTGAGTTTTTGATACATACTATTTAACCTCCTTCTAGTGTTTATCTTTTCTCCACATATAGCTTCTTATATAAAGAATAGTAAGTTAGGGTTGTCTCATATTTTAAATTTCACACTTTTGTGCTCTGAAAAGGAGAGACAACATCAACAAAACACAGAGAGAAGTGAAGAGAAAAAATTCATTGTCTTGTCTACATATCCACTAGGCAACAATTTTTGAACTGCAATAAGTGATTTGTTTACTATTGGATAAGGTTGATATTTGGACAGAATGTTCATAAGACCTAATTTTTCATTTTCAATAGTTGGATCATCCAAAGGAGGTATGTAATGAGATAAATGTGTTTCATTGTAACAATTTTATTTTTGAAGGTTTTTTGTCTTCTTGTTTCTCATTTTAGAGGGATAAACAAAGGCATTCAGAGATGACCTTGAAAATCCGCACCCAATGTTTGGAACCATTAAGGTAAAGGGAAGTGAGAATCTTGTTTCGAGTGAGAACCTTACTTTAGAGTGTGGGTTATCTATGGCTAGTGAGATTGACCCTAATCCTATTTTGTCGTACATGACGTATGAGGGGGAAACCCAAACCATACAAATAACTATGATTTTTTATTTGTATTTCCAATCATTGAAAACAAAGAATCGTGTCCTATGAACCTTCTATGCAAAAATTATCTGATTCAATGATAAACGAATCTCTAGTTGCAATTCGAAAATCGTTGGTTGGTGGATACAAGAATTGGATAATGAATTTTCTCTCTTCACTTCTCTATGTGTTTTACTGTTGTTCTATCTTTTGTCTCATGGTAGCCTACTCCAATTCCCTTATGAAACTTTCGTTATGGGGTTAGCAATATACTTTACATGTTTCTAGCGATTCACATGCTATTTTCAAATAATAGAAGTCTTATATAAGAATCTATAACACCCTTGTTGACAATCCTTTATTCCGACAACATTTAGGGTTCCTCGAATTATGTTATATCTCATACCAGGTAAATCCTTAACCCTTCCTTCTCTTATTAAGATTGCAAAATGTTCTTATAATTTATGGTCAATACCGGGTATATAAGCAATAATTTCAAATCCAAGCAATTTTACTATCCTATTTAGAGCATAAAAGCATGAAATTTAAATCATGAGATGCGTGAGACAATCCTAACTTACTATTCTTTATATATGAAATTTTAACAATCCTAACCTATGTTTAAAGCACTAGTAAAAACCAATTAACCAAAGTTACTTTCTTTATGCATTAATTATTTAAAATTTAAAGATAAATAAGATAAACATATATATATATATGTATATTTAAATAATTCCAAAATCTTATTTTTCTTCTTTAAAACATTCTTATCTATAAAACTTCTAAATTAATTAATTTCAAAATATTTTTTTTATTTTTATTTAATAACATTCATAATTACAAGATAGTCCCATTTAATTTTTTTTAAAATTCTTTATTAATTTATTCTAAAATATCTGGATGTTACAAAAATTATATCTTATTATCACACACACATACACACATATATATATAAACCAATATTTAGTTTGTATAATGTACGTTATTAACTTTTATTTTATATAACAAAAATACTTTAATTTATGATAAATAATTTATATAGTGAAAAAATTATTTTTAATTATTAATAACTTTTTTTAAAAAAATTGATTTATTTTAGAAATAAATTTTGAATAAAATTTAAAAAAAGATAAGAAGTTGAGAAAATTCCCAAAAAATGAGAGCATGTATTTATTATCATAATACTAAATAATAACCTTTAAAATGTAAATAAAAATAAGTAATAGTTAAAATTAAAACTCAATTATAAATTTTTTTCCTATGAGATCGTTAATATTGTTAGCTTTCATTATTACCAACACCATTACTCACCCACTCCTTTATTACCATTATCATCACCATTACCACCATTAATATCATTATTTCTCTCATATGGAGGCATGACAGTTATTATATCATTAACGATGATTTATTGATATTAAATCTAAACTAAATTAAGTTAAAGTTAATTATGATGAATAATTAAATTAGTCAATTATAATATTATTATGTCATAGAATTTAAAGAAAATTCAAATAAATACATTACAAAAGATTAACTAAAATATGACTTTTCATAGCTAAAACTAAAGAAAATGAGAGTCCCACTTAATTATAATAATAAAAAAAGTTAATCATCTATATATTGCTAGTGTAAAGTTTTTTACAATAATAACTAATTAGATCTGTTAATAGTGTCTTTTTTATTTTAATTTAATTAAATGAGTAAATGACATGATACTATTAACAGATTTAATTGGTTATCAGTATAAATTTTTTTTTTACATTAAGAGTATATAAATAATTAACTCTAATAAAAATTGTACATCGTAAAAGCTAAAACGCTAGTTACAAAATTTTTTCGATCGGTGCAAAGAGAAAAAATGTTGGGTCACAAAGCCCAACATTAAAAGTGTGTAGGCATTGGACTCGACTCAACGACAGGGAGAGACCTCAAAATCGTGGCGAAATCTTCTACATATGTGCCAAACTCCACAACCTCCAATAAAATTGAAATTATTCCCAGCAACGAATGAATGAAGGACACAAAATCTATTATATTATATACACGATAATAATTCATTATTTTATAACCTTAATTTCCACGACAACTTTGCATATATACAAATATAATGGTAGAGTTCCTTTTTTAGCATCATTATTATTCATTTCACATATTCAATTGCTTTTTAACGGTTAATGGAAATGGCTTCCTCCTCCTCCTCCTCCTTCATCCTAAGCTCAGATTTCAAGTGCATAGTTTCTTCGAGGAACACTAGAACCCTCTCTGGGTTTGGTGCATTGCACCCAAATGGTTTATTCAGGAAATGCTTCCACTTTCACACTCTATCTGCTAGAATGGTGGCAAGGACTACAAAGATGGTTTCTGATGTTTATGCTGGCGGAGACACAACTTTCAGAGTCAATAGCAAGATGTACACCAAGTTGGACTCTTGTTTGGTCATACCACCTACCCCAAATCGTGCCAAGCCTCGAGCAATAATCAAGTTCCTGGGTGGTGCCTTCATTGGTGCTGTTCCTGAAGTTACTTACGGGTATTTTTTTCGCTACCCTTTTGGTTTTTCAATGCAAAGTTTGACTCTTTATCATTAATAGTTGTTGGAGATTTCACTTTTGACTAGTAATATAGGCAAAATATATAATTAAGTGGAGATAATTCACACATAGGAGCTAGTTTTTGAGGTTAAATCAGGTATAAACTAATTTTAAAATGGTATAAAGTCTATTTTAGTATTAATTTTTAAGTATATCGAATCGCACGATATTAGACTACCTGTAGGTATAAGTACTGTACTCAAGATACCCCTATATGATATGAGGGGATGTGTTAGAGATTTCACAATCATGGGGTTACTCTCACCCCATGAGTTAGTTTTTGGGTTGAGTAAAACTTAAATCTAAATTGTAAGAATGGCTTCTTTTCCCATGTTGCCAATGCTTGATGGAGTGATGAGTTTTCTTCATTTAATTTGCAATTTGCAGCTACCTGATAGAATTTTTGGCAAGGGAAGGTTTTCTTGTGGTGGTGGTGCCTTATAATGTGACATTTGACCATTCTCAAGCTGCTAAACAAGTATATGAGAGGTTCCATGCTTGTTTGGGTACAATCCTTACATCTGGGTTGCCTCAAGCAAATTTGTCACCTGCTCAGCTAGAAGACCTTCCCCTTTTCTCTGTTGGTCACAGGTTGGTGGGTTGTTTAATTTTCAGTATCAATCTTACTGGAATTAATGTCGAGAAAGTAATATATTTCTTGTTTTTTGATATCTGTAGTAATGGGGCACTTCTTCAACTACTCACAGGAAGCTTGTTTTCTGAGAAAATACCTAAGGTTTGGTTATTTTCTGGCTGCTGCACACGAAATTGTATTTATATATATATGCACAAAGAGTTTGTTTGGATATAAGTTTAGAAGTAGTTTTGAGAGTTCATCTACTAAAAAATACAGAAGATTTTTTAATAGAGAAGCTTTCAAAAACTCTTCTAGGGTTGTATTCAAATAGATTCGAAATGATTTTGAGATTTCAACTGAATAGTAGTATTCTAAATGTTGTAAGTTACTACAAGCATATTTTAGTTTGTGGATTACGAAGTTTCATTTACTTAAATAAAACTTATAGCAATTCATGGAGTGTGACGAAAAGGTATATATCTCTTGTGAAAGGCTAATGCCATAATCTCATACAACAACAGGCCAGCAACGGAAGCAGTCCCTTACTTTGAACAGGTATTAACACTCATACTTGTTGAATCCTAATACATCAGTTTACCTAAGAGTCTTTATAGGCTACTTTGGTATAATGTCTGATTCTTCATTCTTGTGGTGGTTAAAATAAACAAAGAATTTTTCAATAGGCTGGGTTACGTGTTTACCTTTCCACTATAACTTTTGTTATGAAATTTTGAATTAAGTTTGGTAGAGGATGAAAAAAATTGTGGAGGATATAATGTTCTTTTGAAAAATATTCATTCATTGTTTGGACAGGATCCTTTGATATTTTGTATTTCACCTGGACGGTTTGTACCAAATGATCAAGGTTTTGATGTAAAAAAATCTAGGCAAACAAAATACTGGTCATGAATATGTTTGAAAGTTGAAACACACCTAACCGGCTTTAGTATTTTTTTTTTCTTTTTCTACATATTCAGCATAGATGTGAAAGGATTCTTTATATCTGTCCAAGTAAATGGGGGGAGAAAGCTAGGAAAGCTTCCATTTCCTTTTCTGATCATGTGTAAAATACTTGTAAAGTGTAAACTAAATCAAGAAATGTAACATTTATGCATGTAATTATGTTCAATTAACATAAGCATTATTCGCATACCATCAACTAAATGACAATCTAAAGAAATTTAGTCTGCCTAGAACAATAAATGATGTTTCTCATGGAAATGATTGTAGATCTTTATTCATACCATCCAGTACATCATCAGAACCACTCAAATCAATATGCTTCATGAAATAATTTTGAATGGTCTTGAAGAGTAAAAACGTTCTTCAAAGGGTCTAATATTGTTCATATTCATGCTGCACTTCAGCTGATAAAGCATGTCTATAAGTTGTTCATCTCAATTGTGCTCTAAAACTTTGCAGTGCTGCCCTGCAGTTGGGTCCTGTAGTCAGCCAAATGATGCCAGCTGTGGAGGCAACTCCTTTTTATTCAATAGCTAGAAATGCATCAGGTATCTCCGTAGCTCACTTCTCCTAGTTTTGCTTCAAAGTTTTGTAATGATGTAGCTTTGTAAAATATATCTCACTCTTCCAACTGCTAAAATTAGCCAAAAAGAGGGCTGCATTGCCATCATTGCCTAACTTGTTAGGTGGCAAAATATGCAACTGTATATGATATAGTATTTTTTTATAAATCAAAAGTCTTGGTCTAAAATCCAAAAATTGTTGTCGATCTTCTATTTGTTGGGTATTGGGTTCCCTTCCTTTATGGAGAAAAGACCCAAAATTGAGAAGCCTACTTAATATCTCACTTCACTAAGTGGAGAGAGGGTCTGAAGCACAAGAGTGAGAAAGAGAGAAAGTCAGAAGTCACGTAGAACACCAGCACTTTGAGAGAGAAGAAAAGAGAAAGTCATTCTCGTTTTTACACAGAGCTGCGACGGTAAAATCAATAATACAGATTCGTTTACCGTTGGATCGGGCTGAAAATTTGACAACAGGGTCGGGATATCTGGTTCTTCATTCTGAACGGTTGAATCATTGAAACGAGGTCTGAGTAGGAAGATATTCAATTCACACTATAGCTGTGTATTTGGGGTTTTTCATCTTCCTTATTCTCTATTTGTAAGCTTTATTGCTTTGTTGTTTGGCTGAGTGTTAGCACTATTTTGTGCAGTTGATTGAGACTCCTTTGTACTCTTTGTTGATCATAGTGGAGCTATTTCTTTGGTCTGGACGACTCGTGGTTTTTACCCTTGCTTTGAAGGGTTTTCCACGTTAAAATCTTGGTGTCTTTGTGTATGATTTTGGTGATTTATTATTGTTGTTCATTGGTTGTTGCTCCTCATAGATTCTTGCAAGTTAAGGGGAATTTATATTTGTTGCGTTAACCGTTTGAGTTTGTTACTGTGTTGTTCATTTCCCCATCACTAATAATGTAATTCTGCTGCTACAATCAATGGATGCAATTGTTTCCCTACCACCTCAGCACTCAGTTGGAATCCCTGGTGTGTTCAAGTGTTCAATGACATGCAGAGCTCATTCCTGGCCTGTTGAAAGAGAAACAAACACACAGAAGAGGTTGAATGTGTGTGATATGCAGGTGTGCCCAACCTGGAGGAATCCATCACATTTTTTTTTGCAAGGGGTTAAACCATGAGATATGCAAGTGTGCCTAACTTACATATCCTTTCCTTAACACTGTTTGGGGAGGGTGATTTAAGAGGAATTTGAGGTGAGGAAGATGGATTGGAGAGGAATTAAGAAAGTGACTTGTGTATGGTGAAGGTGACTTATAGTTTGAGGTGAGTGTAAGGTGGGTCCCACATGATGAGAATTACACTCTAACATGAGGGGATTCTCGTGGATTTGTGGCATTTTACGTGTATGACCTTGTGTTTGGTGGATGTTAATGCAATATGCTGTCTCCATAATACAATATGTTAGCATGTTCATGCAATATGTTAGCTAGTATTTGAATGTTAGCTAGTAATGCAATATGGAATGTATGAGTCAAGTAGCAGCCTTGGTTATGTTATGCTACTGTATTTTATAAAAAAGAAATATAATCTCACTTCAATATAATGGGAGGGGTAAAATAATAATTTTATATATTATATATTTTTACATAAAAATCTAACTATATAAAATATAATTTTAAAATATCAACTTCCCTCTATTTCTTATCTAATTTCACTTTATCAAATAAATACTTATTCTATTTATTTTTTTAAATTTTTTAATTCATCGGATACAATACATCTAGGAATATATGTATGCGTAAATCATTTCATAAATCATATATGGTAATTTCTATATCCATAATGATAATGCATGTCGCCCACAACCTATGTAGGAGACGTGTGGAAGATGATGTTGGATGCTGCTAGATCAACTCTACAGGAAACTGAGCAGGAAATACTGAATTCCTTAACTAAATTTGTTGATCAGTTGCCATCAGTAATGAACGAGGTATGTGTCAACTGTTGATTTTGGAGATTACTTTATGCTATTTGTTTCAGTTTTCAATTAGATATCTGTTAAAGGAAAAGCCTTGTAGGTCAAGTTTTGCTGTCAAGTCTGATGCCTCCTGTTATTGTTTATGTACCTACTAGTTCGCTGAATCATTTTTTACCTGGTTAATTTTGCATGTATTAGATGCATATAATCTCTTATGACAATGGCTAAACAACTATAGATAATCTTTGTGATCATTGGTCTATAATAATGATGAACAAGTATGATTATATTTCTCTATCAGGTTACACAAGGAGTATCAGAGTTCAAGCCAACACCAACTGAAAACCGTGATTGCTTTAAATGTTCATACAATGTTGAACACACACTATTGGTTTGTCTGATGTCCTATACCTTAGAATTTATTCTTGAAATATGGATGACATTGCTATTTGGTAATATGTGTGTAACGTTGTTTATCTGTCTTTCTAGGTGAAGTTCAATTTTGACACAATTGATGAGACAGATATTCTTGAACAAACACTGAAGCCTCGTGTGGAGTCACTGGGTGGTACATTAGAAAAAGTAACATTAAGTGGTAACCACATCACACCATGCATTCAGGTAAAATTCCTTTAATCCTTTTATACCATACTTATTATTCAGGTAAAATATATCCTAAAGTTTTTAGTTTACAATAAAAGAATAGATAAGAACATTACTCTATATATATATATATATATATATGGCTATATGCACCATCTTGCTATCACTATGACAACCTTATTTGAATGGTGTGAATTTTCATACACTTGTAGTTTTTCTTAATTAAATATGAATTTATTTTTTGTTGAGAAATATAATAAATAACAACAATTAAATGGAAGCAAAACTGATTTTTTTTTTCTATATAAATAACAATAGGCTTAGTAAGCAACAAAATAATTTCAATCATATGCACAAAATAGAAAAATAGAAATTAACAGCGGGGAAAAACCTTCGATGCGAGGTAAAAATCCATGACACCTAGTCCAATAAAAATTCTGCTAATAACAATGAATGGGTACACCACAAGTCCTCCTAAAATCACTGAAAATCACTAGAAATAACTCAAATATGGTGGATAACACTAAGAAATCTCTCAAATTAATGGGTATCTAACCAAATAATAGAGAGAATCAAAATACACAAAAATTTGTACCGAATATTTCTTCTTCAAAGTTGGTTGCTTTACTCTTTCTTAAGAAATTCGTTTTTTTATCTTTGTTTTACAAAAAGGCATAATGCACGTAGATGCACGCACTACGATTAGCATATTGGTTATTTATTATTTTTTTTTAAGTTAATATGAACCCAAATAAATTGATTACCTACTTTATAATTTTTTATAGTTTTTGCCTTGTCGTCTAAACAAAAATTTATGATGATAATATCTGATGACTCCTTTTCTTACAAAATCCTTACATTTCAGTTCATTTAAATTTTGTGATGCTCCTTTTTCATTACTAACCTGCTACACTGGGAAATCAGGAACCAAGATGGCAAGTGGGTAAATTGTACACTCCCGCAGATGCTGTTGCCCAAGGGCTTAAATCTCTTTCTTTGAATGAGACCAAGATCCTTGCCAGAACCATTAGCGACTGGTTCAGACGTTTTGAGAGTTGAAGTACCAGGGAAGACTAGCATTGCATACATAATGCAGTATAATTTTGACTATAAGCAGGATAGTGATTGTATTGGAACTTTGCAATTAAAGGTATTAATTGAAGACCTATGTGGTGTATATAATTTATAGGTTAAAATAAAGATCAAAAGATGTGGTAACTTATATATCATTTGTTAGATTGATGCACATCTACATATGTTTCTTTCCTATGGAAGTTATGCTCAATCTTAGGCTGATGAATGTCGTTATAAAGGGTTGGAACTTGAAAGTCTAACTTATTTAGGATTAATCTTCACTTTAGAGTTCAAATGTATTGTAGAGCTTCTTAGTTCAAGCAAATACATTGAAAGCTCACCTATGTTTAATTTCAGATTATAATGGCCATTTTCAATGTATACTACAGAAATTATCTCTTAACCATATTAATTACATTTTCATAGTAATGATATTATTAAAAAAAAAAAAACCATGTGAATGTAGACATATATGCAGCAAAAGGATGGGTGAAGCCGATTTTTACAGCTTGAAATGATTATATGATGGTCATCTTTCATAAACTTGTCAAAGGATCTGATCGAATAAACTTCTATAAAGATATTTTTAGAAGAAAAAAATAAAAAAGAAAATTAAAATAAGTTTCTCTATAATTTAAAAATAATTTATGTATATTTAAATATAAAGTTTAAACTAATAACAGACAAACTCCAAGCGTGTGGTTTAGCGGTAGGGGTTGATCCACGCTTAAGCAAGGTCAGGGGTTCTAATCCTGCCTTGTATATGCAGTCGCGTTAAATCTTGGGGCCAGTTATCCCACCCTTTGAGGTACCTTCCTGCGAGGAGATTAGATACTCCAGGGACGAACCAAAAAAAAAAAAACTAATAACAGACAATTTCTATAAATTAATTTATAATTAGAGAAATTTATTATATTTTTAAAAAAAATTTTTTTCTTAAAATATTTATGGATAAGCTTATCCAAACAAACTCAAATATTGCCGAATATTTTCAATGTTACAATACGTTCACGCGTGTCATGATTTTAAATTGTGGTTACTTTGTAATTATTGAAATTGTGAAAAATTATTGACATGTATGCTGATGCAGTCACGACCGGTTGAAATGTGGCTTTGAAAATCTGTAAATTATAATGTCGTGGCTACGGTTGTGAACTTGTGGTTAAAATGTGGCTTTGAAAATCTGTAAATTATAATGTCGTGGCTACAATTGTGAACTTGTGGTTAAGAACCGAATACACTACCCAAGACTAATCTATTAGGCATATGTGTTGAATTTCATAACTAAAACCTGTCAAATACATGAGCGTTGTAGGAGTGTTTATAATTGAATTCTACCAATGTCAATTATTAAGAAATGATTGTATTGAAAAATTAAAATTTAAATAAAACTAATTAAGTTTGATTCTATTTTATTCCTTTAGTAAAATTTGTCTGGTTTAGTTTTCATTTATAAAATAAAGCAAACAAGTAAACCAAATTTATTTACAAGGCACATTGCAAATCCCAGTTTTTATGAAAGGACTAACATATAAAGATTGTCATAGGATTAACTTCACTCCAAATTGTTTCACTTGCTGGTAGTAGTATTAATCATTGACCAATTAGCAGATACTAACTAAGCCTTTGGATCTCTTTTCCTTTTCTCATTTATTGTCCAAGCAGAGCAATCAATATACACTCTTAACTTGCGAGGTATTATATCCAGCAAAACTGTTATTTTTGTTTTGTTACAACTTTATCCAAGTTCATTATTTTCTGTTTAGCCTTGTTTCCAACTTGTATAAATACTGAAATGGAGGCAATAGTACACTCTGATTTGGTTTTGTGATATCATAATATAAATATTGTGGCTGCAGTTGTGGACTTGTGGTTAAGGACTGCATTGAATACATTGCTGCTAAGTTTTTAGGCATTATATGTTGAATTTCATAACGAAAACCTGTCTGTCAAGTACATTAGCAAGGTGGGAGTGTTCATAATAGAACAACACCAATCTAAACTATTAAAAAATTAAAAACTGAAAAAATGATCAAGTCTGATATTATTTCATTCTTTTGTTAAAAATTGTCTGGTTTAGTTTTGAATTATAAAATAAAAACAAACTAAACAAAACCAAATTTATGTAATTATGTGTATATTTAATTTATTTTACAAACTTGTAGATATTTCCACTTGTTTCTATGAAACATTTTAGGCTAATTTATTAATGTTTTAATCAAGATTTTTCAGCAACTTTGCTATAAATTGAAGAATGTAAAAGAATAAACGGTCAAATTTGCATTCATTTAAGAAAAAATGTCTCGGACCATTATGATAATTAAACCAATTTAACCAAACCAAATAATCACTACAATTAATCTAGTGATAAGATGAAATAATATACATATGATATTAGATTCAAACTTTGTTACTGTCATAATATTTCCTATGGATAAAAAACCAAGTAAGATTCATTTTCTCTAGAATTTGTTATTTAATTAGAAGTAATCTAACTTGGATACCATTCATTTTTTTTTATTGTAAATTGCTTCATATATTTAATATTAGAGAAACTGATGAACACCTCATTTAGCCCCACCTTTTGCAATGGGACATAAGGGGAGGGTCACCATTTGTCATGAGGAAGCCATGCATGGCTGCTGGCGTTCACATTTACTTGCAAAAGACTAAGAAAGTGGGCCTGAAATAACGCAACCCTGGTCAATACTTTTAAGTTTGAGCAGTTAAGTAATGGAACCAAATGTGTCTGTGTCTTGTGAGCACTGTACAATTAATTTGTCACTGGAACCATCCTTATTTGGTCCAGTTTACTGGCATTGTTGGACGTTTTGGATTTTGGTCCAACTCTAATCTACATACACTGCCTTTAAAAAGTGGGGAGAACCAAGCTTCATCATGTTCATGCATATATGATGTTTGGTAAGTTGAAGATTAAAATAAAGACAGCAAAATATTAGTGTACTAAAGTAATTCTAATAGCATTAAGATGTTATGTATTATTCTTTTACTTAGCACATTTCAAATGGGTCTGTTACTTTTGCATGAATGTATACTTAATGAATTGTCACTACCACTACTTAACTTTTGATGCTAAAGCATAGGAAAAACAGGACAAGTACCGTGACAAAAATGAATATACGAATATTTTACTACAGTGAAACACAATAAAAAATACAAACAGCAGAAGAGGGAAGAATGTATTGTTGCATGCACCTCATCAATGTTGTAAGCGTCATATACAAGTGTAGGTTGAGGTGTCAAATTAAAACACCAGTAAGGGAGAAGGAAAAAGTCTCTTCAATCCTTGTATTAAACATGATGACATGAAGGGTTGACTTTGATAGGTTGCAACTTGGAAGTTGTCACTAGGTGTGACTGAAGTTACAAAAACGGTCTTGTTGCATCTATCAAATTTCAGAAACATTTTTCTAGTGATTCTTATAATTGCCTTTATCAAAGGTAACAAGTCTGAGAGAATCAGGCAAAATTGGGACACTGCAAGGGAAAGAAAGTTGGTGGTGATAGTGCAGATTAAAACAAAATGAAGCAATGGTCCCCACACCGTGCTCACTTATAGCGGAAAGTGACCTTACAATTTGTGTGTGAAGGAAAGCATTCTAAATCATAAATGACAATTTAATCTCATCGCCACAGCACCGTTAATAGTAATATGAATATTTATTATACTGATGTTATATATATATATATATCACAAAACCTGAGGTCCAACCCAGTGGAGGCCACATTGTGTTATTGAATGGGATATTAAGGATCACAGTCATGCCAATGAATATGTAACATGTCATTATTGTGTTATTTTTTTCTCAATCACGTTTTTTTCATCCAATTGAGTCTAATATTACTTGAACTAATGATTTATTGATATAATTATGTTATTTTGAAAGGATAATAAATTCTAAACCAAAAATTATAATTTTTAGTTCTTATAAATATAATTTTAGTCAGATTTATTTCTTCTAATTTTTCTTTTTGTTGATTTTTATCTTTGTAAGTTGTCATCTAACTTTGTATAAATTTAAATAACTGTTTTAGACTAAAGTGTTTTTGATGACTCTTATTCAAGAAGAGTGATTTTAGTTATTTTTGTTTTAGAAATAAAGGATTTTTAAGTTTTATATATTTGATTTTCTTAATTATTTGTCTGCATTAATTTATTTGTTTCATTTTCATTTCTAAATGGATTTTTAAAATATTTATTATAAGAAATTATCAAATATTTAAAATAATCTTATATTATAATATAAAAGATTTATCATAAATTTAATATCTAATTTATGTGTTTAAAATATTTATTATTATAAATTCAATTAAAATATAATTTTATATATTTAATAATATTTACTCTTTTTTTTTTTTTATCAAGTATGAAAATAACAAACAAAAACTAGGACCTAAAATAGGTGACACCTATAGCATCAGCTAATAATAAGGAGTATAATTGTTGAAGTAGATCCCATCTTGGCTAACATATTTGTGTAACTATTCCAATCTCGATGCTTAAGCTCTTGAATCTTATTAATGACCGTAACATAAGAATGAAATAAAGTATCTTAAGTAACGAGTTGAAGTGCAGACAATGAGTTTGATTCACATAGGAGATGACGAATATTTATGTCCCAAGCAAATTGAAATAACAAAACTTGTTAAGTTAATATATATATGTAAGAGACCTCTATAACATGCAAGTCTAGAGTTGTCTATGGAGCTGCCATTCATGTTAAGTTTAAATACATGTTCTGGAGAGTGAATCCGACGAAGATATTGTAAAATTCAATGGATCACCTGATATAATATCATGTAACAGTTTGATTTGATTTACAGTAAACCGTACTGATCACTTCATATTATCTATAGTTTTCGCATTTCGAACACACCAGACAAAGCAACAAGCGCAAACTATCAATATTGTCCTTGAATGTGGTGCTTGAGCCATTGAATCTCGTTCTGGATATTTGAAGTCAATTACACTATCAAGATTGAGCTTCCTCTAAATGTTTATAGCAGCAGGACAATTCTGAAGCATATGGAGAAGGGACTCCTGGAGAACTCCACACCTACAACAAGAACAAACAAAAACTATATGTTGTTTAACATGAAAAAGGTTAGTGGGTAGATTTCCGTGAAAGACAAACCATAATATTTATTGTGTGCATCGTACAAGTTAATATATATATATATATATATATAAATATATATATATATATTTAAAATCTCTAATAATACATGAATTATTACTTCTCCTCTCACAATAAAATAATCAAGTACTGCCTTTAAATCTTTAATAGATGATAGTATTTGTGATATCAAAATAGTTTGAAGAAAATATTTTTATTAGATAAATTTATCCCTTAATTACTCTTTCACCTACTATACTCATTATTTTCTTGCAAATTCTCACCTCAGATTAATTATATTGAAATATTAGAAGATAAAAGTTGTTACAAAATCAAATTTATCATTTTCTTAAAAAATAAAAAAAGTGTGGACAGAATATATCTGTATTTCCACTAGTTATCTTAACTGGATCAGAATAATTTGCGAGAATTCCAAGGCTACTCTAGTTTATCTACTACTCAAAAATAGACTCGCAATTAACAGGTAGTAAAATTTGGTAAAAGTGATTCAAAATTAAGTAATCTAGTTATTTTATCTTATAAATATGATTTTACTTAATTTTATTCTTACAACTGAGAAACAAAAATTAATATGTTAAAGATAAAATAACTAAATTATTTATTAAATAATAAAAATGGTTGAACCGTTTTGATCGGTTTGTCACAAGAGAACTTCAAACCAAATGAAAAATGTAACTACCACAAGAAAGAAACAACACACTCAAGCGACATTTAAAGTTCTCAAATTAATACATAATCATGATAAAATTTTAACTAAATATAAAATCATAAAAAATATTAAAATAACTTATCTTTCTAATCCGATAAAATAGGTTAGACTTTATGAGTTTATAATATGATATTTTTAAAGTTTGATATGTTCTTATTTAATAAAAAGGTTAAATTTAAAATTTTAAAACTGACCCAGTACCTTAACCAATTCGATGACCGGTCCGGTTAAAACTATGCATATGACAACATGAATTGTCTCCCTCCAACAAAATATGATTCAATTTTCTCAAATATTTCATTCAAAATTTAAATTTTAATAATATTAAGTAAACTGTATTTTAAAAATAAATTTATTCATATAATATAATAAAAAACTAATATACATATATTAAAAATATAAATAAACAAATAAGTTTATAAAGCAAATATAAATTATCAATATTTAAAATATTTTTTATACAATTATTTTTTTCATTATAGGTTTATAAACTTACAATTTATACATGAGTATAAATCAACATATATGACTACATATAAATTATCTCTTTAATAGAAAATAATTTACTTTTTCTTTAATATTTTTTTTAAAATTTAAATTTTAATAATTAAATAAATTATATATTAAAAATAAATTTATTAACTTTTAAAAATTAAATTTATTGATCTAATTAAAATTATTAATATAAATAAATTAATAAGTCAAGATAAATTTTAAGAAGAATAGATTAGATTTATAAAAAAAATCTATACTAGATAATATAAGAAGGACTTAAACTTTAATTATGTAAACAAGTTCAACCTATATATTCAAAATCTAATTTAATTGAATTTTCATCGGATGTCACAAAGATAATGCTCAATTACAAATTCTTATTGACTACAATAAATGTTAGTTTGAGAAAAATATAATATTTGAAAACTCTAGATTTAAGGATATTTTGAAAAGAAAATTGAGATTTGTTGCAAGTTTATAAATACGTATAAAGTGTAAAGTCTTAAAATAATTTAATGTTCATAATTTTCTTTTCTCAATTAACATCTAAAAAAACCTAACTTAATCATATTTTAATTGATAAAAAAATTTCTGCTAAAATGATTCTTTAAGTTAAGGGAGATAGAATGATGATTTGAATTCATGTGTTAATAGAGATTTTATTTAAAAATATATTTATATTAATGTACAATGCATAAAATTGAAATAAATTGGTCAAGAAATCCAACATATGACAATATATTTAAAAAAATTCAATTATCTGTCACATTATACTGAATCTCTTAATGAAATAAAAACATCATTAAAAAGAAATCTTATTAAAAGTGGTTGATTAAAGTCTTCATGTACTAATAAAATATATAAAAAAATATAAACTTAAAAATTTATGTTAAGAACAAACAACTAAACATGTACATAATGATGTGTTCAGCCTAAACAATACACACAAACAAAATAGAAGAGTGAAAAAAATATATTTTACACACATTTAAAGCATATATAAGAAAGAAAACAAATAAAACGCATAACATATGACAATATAACTCCTAATTTTCATTCAACACTGTGTCACTTGTTTTATATAAGTAGACCAAATTTATCAACCTTATATTAAATTCTTTAATTTTTATGATAATTATTTTAAAAATTATATTAATATATAAAAAATTATAATTAATCAACAGTGTAAATTATTTTATAGTTAAAGATTTAAGATGCATTGAAGTTTATGGTATCATTTCAGATGAATAACTAACTTCTTAAAAAGTTGAAGAGTTGTAATCATTAAATACTTTCAATTCCTGCTTAGGACAATATCAGCAGTCTCAATAGCAATGTCTGTACCAGCACCTATTGTCATTCCCACATTTCCTGTCCAAGTGCAGGCAAATCATTGATACCATCCTCCACCATAGCCAGTGTACCCAGAAATCCCTCAGACAAATAGAAAAAGAGTCACTCAATATGTTACAACGTTCTTCACCTTACAAGTTTAAGTAGAATTCAGGCAGAGATAAGATTCAAGCCAATTTAAGATGCATTGAAGTTTATGGTGATCAATAACTTTAAGTTGAAAAGTTGTAATCATTAAAATTAAATACTCTCAATTCCTGCTTCCTTTGCTATAGAACCAGCAGTTCCAAAGTCACCAAGATGCTCTTGATTTTCATGGACTTGAGAATGAAAATGACTTCTTGGGCACTTGGTTTCAATGGATCAGATACCGCTAAAACTCCAACTACTTTCTCATTTATAGATTACCCAAACTCCTGTTTGACAGTTTGAGTCATCTTTTCAACCTCAGCAAGCATATCTTCAGCAACTAACAGAATTTCAATGTTATGGTCAGCCAACAAGCTCTTATTACCCACAATTACTAACTTGTTTTTACAGGGGCATTTACTCCATGTCCTGTAATTGAAACAAAATCTTGTGTTTTTGATAAAAACATTCTTTTCTTCTCTAATCTTTTGACATAATCAATAATAGTCTTAGCCGGTGAATGTTCACTATTCACTTGAGGAAGGCAACTAACATATATGACATATATATGCATCTATAATCCTTGAATTTTGAAAGCAATTGAGAAATTAAAAAATTACATTGAAATCAAGTCATAACTTAAAAAAAAAACTATCAGAATGGGAAAACAAACTCTTCTTTATTATAACTATTAACGAAACGAAGTCTTTGAGAAGGAGACAGAGGAGATGAAACTCAGCAATAAGTTCATATAATTCTTGGAGTACCATTTTTGTCAATAGTTCTGTTCTCACTATCACAGGTTTTCCAATAATGAGAGTACCCATCTTATTGAAAACAATGCAGTTCACCGACAAGACATCATAAACAATGCAGTTTTTACAGATAATTTTGGGATTTCACAACACTATTTCCCTTCACTCAACTTAACATTAACAAAAAAAAAAAACAGCACTTCATATTAAGAACCAACTAATGATATAAAGTGAACGATACAAACATTAGTACTCCTTTTCTAAAAGGTTAAAAAACATTTGATGTCAAATTAATTAGAAGAAATAACTCTAAAATATTAGCACTCATTTCTTATGTTTATTTTCATCTTGCCACTTTATTAACTGCTCAACTTTAAGCTCACCAAATCAACATAGTCAAAGCAAATTCAGAATTCAAGGAGCTAGTCTAACTCTAATCTAATGTCAATTGCAGGCCTTATGTGCACTACTAAAAATTTTCTTATTATACGGAGATTTTTTGTGTGGATTTTGCATAAAAATTCACAAAATACACATTTCCAACAAACTTTTCTATGAATTTTGATCCACAAGTAATTCCTTCGCGGGTGACAAGTTCCAACAGATTTAAAATCTGCAAGAAATTTTCCTGCACAAAAAGCAAGATTTCAGTTGTGTAATTAACTCTGCCTTAGCATTGGACTTCTTGGACTAATCCTTCAAAACAGATTCACTATTCTTCTTTGCAGCTTTCATCTCTACAGAACACAAAAGGCACCAAAGAATTCAATTCATAAAACCCTCTATCAACAAGTAAATTTAAATTTATTCCAATTAAAGCAATCAGTTTTTTAAAAAATAAAACAGGAGATATTAGATAATAAAAATTATATGTGAGTGATAGTATTTGTGAGACAAGAGCAAGTCTTATTTGGATCAATCTCGGTGTAACAAGTTCAAGGACAACATTCCTTCCAATCCTATCAGTTATAGCATCAATATGCTTCACAATGGTCTCTTTGGAATCCTCATTGATCCTGTTCCTCACTGTAATCACAACTCTAACCTTGAATTTCACTGGCTTCATCCATTTTCTTTTCTTTTTGTAGAATAAATTAGGCAACATAAAGTGTATCGACTGAAGAGAGGCAACATTTGTATTGTAGTGGTTGAAGACATGGCACGGTGTGTGACTGAGAGAGACCACTGCTCAGAGGGGAATCCATTTAAAGCGGGTAATAAAAAAGGGATAACAAACGTATTTTGCCAAAACAGGGAAAACTCCAAAACAATATAAATGCCCTATCATGTCTCAACTATGTATAACACCCATGAGGCCTTTAAGGATGTCCAGAACCTCATTTGGATTTGCATTAGTGCCTCTTATTGCAGAAACAAAACAAAACCCATGATTTCACCAACCTATGATCCACTTTTTCTCAATTCTATTTAAACCAAACAACATAAGTAACTCCTTAGATATCCTTCAAAGCAACAAACATGTACAAACAAGGATTCATGGAAATTCAACAAGACCCTCCTTCTCTCCTTCCTCTTCCTCCTCCTCCTCCTCCTCCTACTCCTACTCCTACTCCTCCTCACTCTTTTGGTTACTACCATAGTTTAG